CAGCCAGGCCACCAGCGCGCGGCGAAGAGAAATTAAATCGTACTCGCGCGGCATTTGAACCCGGACTCTTTCTGCGTCGCGTAGAGTGCCGAGTGCGGGGGGTGGAACACGAGGTGGAACGAGGCGCTGACGCAAGGGGCGGACGGGGCGAGCGGACGGAGTGCCTCGCGGAAACGGCCGGCGTTTATTTCGGCGGCATCGGCTTCCACGACACGCCTGGGGCTGGACTGGGGCTGGGCTGGCCGTTGACTCACCGCCATGCTGGAAAAGTCCAGCACACTGCAGGCCGCGGAAGCATTGCAGTCCACGGGAAGAAAGGTTCGGTCGGTGGGGTCGGGGCTCGGTCCAAGAAATTTCAGTGGTCGACCTGAGCGCGACCATCACGATCAGGATGTTTGGTCGCCACAACCAGAAGCGTGGTCGCCTCGGCCGGGTTTCAGCCTCCAACCCGTTCCGGTCGATGTGACCAACTCCTTTTTGCCGTGCCGGTGGCGGCATCCCCTGGCTGTGCAGTCGCTCCGGCGCTCCAGTGCTTCTAGTGCTCCGGGCCGCCGCGAAGCACGCGAAGCGAAGCGAACCCCTTCGCCTCGCAGTCCTCCGCAGCCCCGCTGCAGCGCTGCAATGCTGGAATCCCCGCAGCCCCTCGCAGCCATCAGCGGCCACTAGCCAGCCCGCGCCAGCCCGCGCCAGCCCGCGCCACCCAGTGCAGCGAGGCCGTCTTTGCGATAACGCCCGCCCCGCCCCGCCTCGCCCACCCATTTGCATTATTAATAAAGGGGGTGCTGCGCGGAGTCTTTGCGTTCAGCAAGGCGCGGTGGCGCGGTGGCCGAGGCCGGCACGAACACCGCGACGCCGCGACGCCACCCGGGGGACCGCCGCCGCCGCCACCGCGTCCCCGAGGTACCCGCTGCCCAGGGGCCGCGGGGCCAGCAAACAGGGCGGCGGGTACCCGCACGCCACGCCGCGACGGGGCTCACGCCAGCCGCGTCGTATACCCTTCTCGAGTAGGGGCCAGCTGACTCAATTGTTTCCTAGGCGTCGCACTCAGGGCGCCACCCCCTTGACCGACTCCCTGCGAGTGGTGTAGCGTGTGTCCACGGGGTGAGGGCGCGCGGTGTGCCGCGGTGCGCGTGTGTGGGTGTCCCCCAAAACGCACGTCCTCGCCGCTTTTGATGAGAAAACTTGGTCGCCGGCGGCAGTGAAGCCGAAGCTGGAACGCCCGACGCCGCAAGAGTACCCGGTCACGCTCACGCCCGGCGCCAACGGTCGCGGTGTGTACGCGCTGCGCTTGGTTCTCGCGGCCACACACGTCCGCGTGTGCGTGCGTGTGTGTGCGTGCCTCGGGCCTGGCTGTGGGCCTGGCAGTGGGCCTGGCAGTGGGCCTGGCAGTGGGCCTGGCAGTGGGCCTGGCAGTGGGCCTGGCAGTGGGCCTGGCAGTGGGCCTGGCTGTGGGCCTGGCAGTGGGCCTGGCAGTGGGCCTGGCTGTGGGCCTGGCAGTGGGCCTGGCAGTTCGCCGTGCGGTGAGCGCTGCGCCCCCGCCGACTGCAAGGGCTGCGAGGGCTGCGATGCGAAGGGGCGAAGAAGAGAGCCGGAGAAATTGATGCATGTGCTGCGGCCTGGGTCGGCCTGGGTGCTGTGCAGTGCAGTGCTGTGCCAGAGCCAGGCGGTGCTCTCCTTTAAATGCAGGCGGCGCAGCGGAACGCGATGGCCTGGCCGCCCTGGCCGCCAGACCGGTCCGGTCCATCAGCAACAACGCCATCCTAGGGCCGGCGTGGCGGCGGCGTGGCGGCCCGCTCGGCCACTCGCTCACCTCTGCCCCCCCGCCCCCTCCCGGGCCCTTACCGGCCCTGGCCGGGCCTGACCACGAATAATGCACAGATTATACTAATAACAGTTTGCGGCCCAAAGAAACGTGGCTTTGGAAAACAAGCGCGCCACGCCGGCGTGGCCGGGCCTGGCCGGGCATGCCGGAATGGCGTTGGCTATCGGCCTCGGAATGCTCACGGCCTGCGCTACGCTGCGCTACGCCTGCCACGAACACTCTGTGCCGAAACCCGTGTCCCTACAGCCAGCAATGAGTGTTATTACGCCCGGCTCGGAGCGCGGCCGTGGACCGGCGAGGACCGCCCCGCCCCGCCCCGCCCCGCCGCGCCGCGCGACCCCCGCAGGCCATGACGGAACGCCTCCAAACGCGGCGCCGCGATGCCCCCCAGCGCCCAGAGGCCCCAGAGCCCCCAAGGGGGTACCCACCGCGCTAGAAGTGGAGAGGGGAGGGGGAGCACACCCCGGTGGCCAGTGGCTGCTTTAGCCATGAATTAGGAACGCCGCCGCCACGCTCCGCGCGCCGCGGCGCCGCCGGTGCTCAAAGTAATAGCGTACCATCACCGCCGGGCTTTACTCCCCTTCCCTCGCCCCTTCCTCCGAAAAATCCCAATCCCGAGTCGTCGCTTCCTTTTCCTCGCCGTGTACGGACGGACAGCGTTGAGCGTCTTTGAGCTGTTGTTGATGAAGTGGGGGAGGCCGACCGTGCCTTGGGCCGTGCAGCAATCCGAGGCAGCCAAATACGGCGGGCTGCACCGCGGCACCGCGGCCACCGCCATAAGGGCCGCGGGGTCCGCGCGCCCGGCCGGCCTGGCCGCCGAGGAATCCTGTGTGCACACGGAGCCCGCGCCGCGCCGCGCCTCGCCTCGCACTTGTGCCGACACGTAGACACGTGCCGATCCACCACTTCCACCACTTTTTCCTCTTGATCTTTGTTGCTGCTGCTTTTGTTGCTGTTTATGGCCGCGAGGGAACATACGGGACATGGCAGAAATTTATAGGGTGGGGAGAATGGCGAAGAAAGGACATGCAGCCACCTCCGTGGGAACAAAAGATGTCGATATCTGTCACCTGATTTTTGTTTTTGTTGTTGTTGTTTTGTGCTAGCCCCCTAGAAGGGCATCGTCATCATCCTGGTCCGGAAGCGCGTCCGGGGGTAGTTTTTGAGAGCTTGCAGCAGTCCGAGAAGCTCAAGCTAGGCCAGGGCGGCCAGGCGGACGGACCGCGAAGCAGCAGGCCAGGCCTGGCCGCAAGAAAGGGAGGACCATCTGCTCGGCAGATTACAAATTACTGACCCCTCCGCCACGCTCCGCCGCGCCACGCTCCACCCTGCTGCACTGCAAAGGCCTTGTGTCCTGCGCCGCGCTGCATCGCCCGCCGCTACGCCACTGGCCGTGTCGCGCAAACAAAACGATTTTTAAAAGAAGGGAGCGCTTGTCGTTTTCGTACTACAAAGTTGGCGGCGCTGCAGTGTGGCGGCGCCAGGCTCCAGGCTCCAGGCGCCAGGCCGTCCATGGCGTCCTCAGGCCTCATTTCGCCGTTCCGCGCGCAGCATTTAATCCGGGGCTCTCGTCAAGCTTTGGCGAGGAATCAAGATGCCTCTAAAATAATAAAATTGGACAGAAATGGCGTTTACGCCGGTCGTTTGGCGGCTCATGTTCGTAAAAAGGGCCGTAAAAAAATGCGCGGTGGAGCCGGGCGAGCCGGGCGGCCGCGAGGAATGCGACGGGGGAGGGGGGGGCTACGCCACTGTACGCCACGGGGGCGGAGGAAGGACGACCACCGTCCGAGCCCCGGCCTACGCCACTGGGTGCACTGCACTCAGTGGACGCCACGGGGGCGAAAGAAGCAAGGCTCCACAGCCCTGCGGACTGATTCCTAGAGTCGTTGTCGTCGCTCTGTCTCTCTCGCACCAACGCGCGGCGTCCCATGAGTGCGAGAGAGACAGAGCGACGGAAGCGACTCTCGGAATGAGTGTGGTGGCCAAAAGGAAGGCCGACGCGGTGCGTCCCCGCGCGAGCGGGATTAGCGTCCCCGCGCGAGCGGGATTAGCCCGCTTCATGAACCGACCCGACCACGCTTGAGAGGCCTGCCAGTGGCGTGGCGTGGCGTGGCCAGCGGCATTGGGCACTCCGTGGAGCAGGTGCACCGGGCAGCGACCGGTCCGAGCCCGCAGCCCGCAGCCCGCATCAGGCCGGCATCAGCCCGCAATCTGCGAGCAGCCGGCAATTGGGAGATGATTTCATTTCGCCAACAGAACCTTCGGCCTTAGGGCTTCGGCTGGCTTTGGCGTAACGGTTCGCTGGCCAGCAACTCGGCTGGCCGGGCTGGCCTGGCTGGCCGGGCGCGCTGGAGGCCGTGATCCCTCTTGGCATGGAGCCCTGCGTTCGCTGGCTGCGCTGGTCTGGCGCACTGCGTCCGGTAGCTCCTCACGGCTGCACTCGGCTCTTTTACTTCTTGGTTTGCTCCGGTCATGTTCTTCTCCGCGAGCTGCAGCACCCATTACACCATTTCTGCAGCTAGAGTCGCCTCAACCCGAACTCGGTTCCGTCCCTGGGACTCATATTCCAAGTCAAGTCCGAGTTCGGGCTCGGTTGAGACCCGGATTGAGCCTTTTAGACCGCCGGAGCTCAAACGGACGGGGCTCATGTCTTGAACGTATACCCCGTCGGCGCATGCTTTGCATAAGGGCGCCTTTGATCGCCTTGCTGTGACTTCCCCGCGCGCGAGCAGAGCCCCGCGCTGCCCCGCGCTGCCCCGCGCTGCCCCGCGCTGCCCCGCGCTGCCCCGCGCTGCCCCGCGCTGCCCCGCGCTGCCCCGCGCTGCCCCGCGCTGCCCCGCGCTGCCCCGCGCTGCCCCGCGCTGCCCCGCGCTGCCCCGCGCTGACGGGCCATCGAGTCGAGTGGTCGAGTGCAGGCGCATTGCCGCCATTTCAAAGCTCCTACTTCGCCGCCCTTCCCGGCGGCTTTACGGGCGCCACGCAAATGAAGCCATAGAGAGCGGCCGACCGCGGGGCAAGTATCGTGGCAGTCCGCGTCCACGTCGCGGACCTCGCGTCACGTCCCCGTCAACGCGGGGGGTCGGCGGCGGCCCGCCGTCTGGTGGAGCGCCTGCGAGGTAGGCAACGCGGGTTTGGCTCGGACACAACTGCCCACTCGTTGCCTACCTCGCAGGCGTCAGTTGGCCCACCCCGCGGCCTGCGGGCGGAAGTTCCCCGAATCGAGAACAGGGTCTCAGAAAGCAGATACTGTCTCTAGTCATGATTTTTATTTTTACCATATCCATGAGCAGCCATCATCTCCAGCCAGGCTCGATCTCGATCGTCGTTTGAAAGTTTGAAACTTCGCGCCATTCCAAACGAAAACAAAAGGAAACAGTCGGCGGCTGGAGCTGCGACGGCTATGGACATTCTGACAGCAAAAATTGGATTTGTGGCCGATATCAAGCCTGTCATCTCCAGCTCTTGGTGAAAAAGTGGAGTAAACATGTCTACGTTTCGAAGGGCTTGTTTCGGAGCCAGACATCTCTGCACGGGATTGCGGTAAGAGAGTCTTGCTGCAGAGTGAGGGAGCTGGTGAGGTTGGGAACCCATTGTTTGGTGGTGGCCCTGGCCCTGGTTTGTTCATCATGGCTAAATATTCAGTGTAACTCATCAAAAATTTGATACTATTCACGTGTCACTAGATTCCTCTTTTTGTTTAAGGTCTGGATTGGTTGGACGAGATGTAGTGGACTTGAGGGATTTACTTCAAAAGGATATAAAATCTATCCTATGGTCTGCTCTGGATTTAAAGTCAAGAGGAAAAGGGAAAGATCAAATCCAAATAAGTGGTACTCATGTTACTTTATTGATGTCTCGTCCGGAGCCTTTTATTCAGGCTGCTGCTGGCTGTGCTGTTTCGGCCGTAGGGAGCAGCCTAACAACAATTGTCCACGAGTCGCTCAGAGACATGGATCAACGTTCTGTTGAAGATTTGGGACGGTTTGTTGAAATTCATTACTTCCTTCATTTATTTGTGGCATGTAAAAAGTTATCCATGATTTTTTTGTTTCCTTAGTACCCTATCAGCAACTTCTGATGTAATCTTAGTTCAATCTGAAGATCATGGTTTCATTTCAAAACTAGCAACTGGAGCTACCATACCAACGGTTGCTTGGCACTCGGAAAAACACTCTATTGTTCAAGCATTAGCTGACACCATGACTATTTATGAACATTTCAATCTTCTAAGTCCATTAACATTGAGTTGGGTTGGTCCACCAAAAGCCCTTTTCAACTCATACCTCTTCATCATGCCGCGCATGAAAATCAACCTCAGATTCTGCTGTAATGATTCTGATGTGAGCTCAAATATTTGTTTCTTTTTGCATAATAGATGTTTTTGCCCATTTTATTTTGACAATCATGCAATATGATTTGAACTGCAGAGCAGCTGCCAAACATCCCCATCAATGATGAATGAAGGCATTAAAAATGCTGTCACCCACAAAACTGAATTCCACGAGTGCCAGAGCCCAGCTGAAACTGTGTACCGCACTGATATTATTGTTACCACTGGGCATGACATTCCATCCCTGTGTCTTAGAAAGAAGGTGACATCAACTACAACTATATAATTTTTGTAAGAGTGGGTCCATTTATTATTGTTGATTTCTAAAACTTATATCTACATGAATTAGGATGTGGATGAAGCATCTCTAGAATACCTCCTTCTACATGAACTTCCACGTGGGAAATCTGAGCTCTCAGAGGAACTGTTCCGTTCCAAACACTCAGCAACATGGAAGTCACGAGAAAATGTCACTTGGATAACAATGGTACTTGGTTTTACTTCCCATATCTCATCTTATTAGCACTCTATTTCACTCCTTGTGTAATTATTCTCATTTTATTTCCAGGCAATTTTAATCAATGTATTGCAAGATTTTCGGCCATCAATTAGAGTACCCAAGTGGGAGTTAGAATAGTTTGTAAAGAGAGTGTTTTGTTTGTTAAGTATAAAAGTTAAGTTGCTGAGAAGGAATCTGTCATTTGGTCCAACTAAGAAGTTTCTTCTCATGGAAGTGAACATTCATAGAACCATGGTGGTAAAAATAAAATCAACTCTTTCTCATACAACTTTTTTTATTACTTTAAATAAAATGGAAAAACAACTCAAAAATCAAAATGAATTTGATCAATTTTAACAACCCTCATAAAAAGAGGACCAACAGTGAGAATTATCCCATGAGGCTTGAAACATTATTTACAGACTAGTGTCATGTAGACAATTATTGTTCAACAATCAAGTAGCATTAGTAGATTTCAAGCTGAATGAGTCCTTCATACAACCATATATTTTGAGACCTACTGGGCACATGCATTTATAAATACTTAATAAATGTAAAATTCTCTATTAAATTACACAACAAAATAAAAACAATTCATGTAAAAAAGTTACTTAAAGCTAGAGCACAGGCATCTGTGATGAAGGACACCTTATCAACAAACTGCATCCATGTCCGGTTTAGTATAGAACTGATGATTTGACTAAACTGTTATATGATTCAGCTCAATTTCTTCCTCTAACACGATGCTTTCTTTCTGCTTCCATTTCATATGCTGCTTCAAGTTTCCTGACGATTTGACAAAACAGTCAAATGATTCAGCATCGTTTTTTCCTCTTGCAAGGAGGTTTCTTCTTCTGCTTTGATTTCATAGGCTCCTGACAAACAAACAGTTGAAGATGTTAGAACGGCTTATACAGCTGCTAAATTATCTACAGTGGAATGAGAAGTCAAAATTAAAAGTAATCATAGACAGCATGTCCTGTGTCTAAATGAAGCTTCACACATGAAGTGAAATTGGCAAAGGGAACATTACTTAAAAGAGTCCCACCAATCACAGAACAAATTGAAGAAGGTTGTTGCAAAATTTTATGTGCTTCCAAAACAGTTCCTTCAAGAGAGACTGAGAGACTTCATTGGTGAGAAGCTTGTGACATACAGTATCTTTGAACTGCACTTATCACCCCAACAAATTGGCATCTAACGTGACATTGATCACAAAACCTGAGCTAAATCCTCTACAGCGCCAAAGCACAAGATCACTAACAGTACAAGCAAGGTGCTCCTTGTCACAGGAATAATTATTTACATTTTCAAAGGACCACAACATTTTTTTTTAAATAAACAAAATGCTTATGAAACTTTCACACCAAAAACAGATAAAAATGTGGCTGAAGTTTGAGTTTGCTTCTAATATCTACAAGGTGAAACATCTAAAGAAGTAGTTAATACAAAAATACGTTGTCAGTTGAGCTGGTAAATTTCTTTTTGCATTCTATTTTTCTACTTATATGGGTGGCTTACCTCCTTTGAATTTCAAGCATTTCCTAATCGGTGAAAGTACAACAGAATTGCAAACATCTTCTAAGATTTTTAAGAAAAGTTCTTTACATTCAATAAGGTAAAAATTTAAATCTTCAATTTAAATTTTTTTTTTTAAATGTTGATAAGAATCAAGAGGTTTGAAAGTGTGGGAACTGGAGACAAAATGTCTTAGTGAAGTGCCAAGGACTGACTAAGATAAAAATTAGATGGCCTGGTAGGTAACTTAAAAGTGACAATTTTCAAAATGTGAATCTAAAAGCACAACATAGAACACACATTCTGGTGGTGAAACAAGTGAAAGATGGATGAATAATGTTTGCAGGACAGTGGCTGATTGTAAGTAAATGCCAAATAATTTGTGAGGGTAGAACACAGAAAGATGCCCCAGTTGAAGAACAGTTTATTGCCAAGGTGCCCTGAAGACTGCTCTTAAGTACATAGCTGTAAAGGGATGCTAGGGAAAGTCGTTATTGTTTCCCATCATTAAAATTTCTTTTACCCTTTACGTAGAGGTCCTTTATGTGAATATACATGAAAATGCTTCCAAAACCTAATAAACAATTTATATATTTAAGTTTAGAAGGCAGTAACAACACCTACTGAGAACACCTACCTATTGAACACATACCACTGATTCTCCACTTCACCTTATGTGTGCTATATCATCCCATGCAAATTGCATGATTATTGTATCAATTAACTAATCAGTGAGATACAAAAAGATACCAGTCTAGTGACACAAACCTAACTATTCAGCTGTGGAACAAGACATAAAGAATCCCACTCTAGCTTGCTATCAATGACAAGAGTCAGGTCAAGTTTGATATTAGTAGCTCAAAGGAACACAACCATTTTCAGACGACAATTTGGAAGACCAACTTAAATATTCCTGGCACAAAGCTTTGGCACAAAGTTTGAGACTGTTTCAACAACCTCCAAAACAGCAATCTGAAAATTTTTATATATAACTCAATTTATCGAATTTTCAAAAATTCAAGTACATTGTGTTCAAATCTCAATGAAAAGTTTTATTACATTCCTGCATGAATTTTCCTTTACTTTCCAACATTTTAATGCATATTTGTGCAGATAGTTGGATGAGTTTGTAAATGGATGTTTACAGGTTACATCAGCAAATTTAGTATGAAACTGGTTCTTGAATGAAAATTTTGACCTTTGCATTCAAAATATCACTATGCATAACAGTCAAATCTGCCCAATGGAATTCACATTATTGTCTTAATGTGCACCTCTATGTCCTAGCTATGCAGCCAACACATTTCAGTAATTCCTTGAAAAATTAGGAACAAAAACCAGGAAAAGCATGGTCCTCACAAGATCCTCCATCAATAGAAATAAAGTATTTTAACAAATAATTGAACTAACACTAAGTTCAATGATCTAGAAGAAGTCTCACGTTAGTACACAAGGGCTACGGCCACATAGAAATAAATAATGTATGAGCCTGAGACATGGTCATATTGGAATGTCAAGATAGTCATTTCTCTGAATTCACAGCCAACTATTTAAAAAAAAATTTGTGTGGCAAATTTCTTTAAGTTGGATAAATTTTTGAATTTACAGAGGATGACAAATATGTGCTCGACTTATCACAGAACAGAAATACTTTGTGAGTAGTACATAATACTGATATATTGGTAAAGAAACCAATTATAATAAACAGTAAAATTGACACCATGAACAAATACCAATAAGGATTGACAACACAAAATACCATGAGATATGTGGGCCATGAAAACGGTCAAAATTTCATAGACACCTAGCAAAGTACTTGGCACATGGATTTTAACTGATGTAAGGAACATACCAACCAACAGAGGATGATCCCTATTCCCCTGTCTGATTCTGCATTAAATTAGGGAACCAAAACAACTATACCTATCCAAAAGGAATATTTTTTTTTTGTGATATACATGAAATGCCCTAAAATTTGACAGTGATTTGTGCATTCAGTGCCATCTGAAATTTATGAACAAGAAACATACTCTACTTACAGAATCAATTTGAATTTTGAATCCTTTTTTTTTTCTCTGTTTGGCACTCTATTAACACGTATAAGCAATTCTAACGGGCTGTGATGTTACTAGTGCAAAGTGACACAATGCAATGTCTACACAGTGGTTTCTTTATCACTTATTACAAGGATTCCATCATCAGTTATCTTAATTTCGACTTTGGATTCCTTTTCAGAATCTGATTTGCTGTCATCCACAGATCGGAAGTGCTTAGAGTTTTTTGGTGAAGGCATGCTAGCCAGACTCACCTTGCGACCATCCAAACAATCCCGGCTTGAAGATTTAGAGATGGCTTTCAGTGTATTCACTGCTGACTTCTTCATATTCTCTTCATTTAGAATTAGTTCATGTCCCTTTAACATTGTGGATCCCTCCCCGTAAGTGCCAAACTCTGAGCCCAAAAATTCAGCCATTTTGGAAATGTTTTCATGAGATTTGACTTTGAAATTGACAACCCTTCCTTTGGGACTCGAGTCAATTAATTTACTCCCCATTGGTGAAAAATGCACACTGCTGTTTCTGTTTCCCACTGCAGCTGAATTTTGTTGATACTTACTGTATATCCAGCAGCATTAAATAGACCATATTCAGACTTAGTTGTATTCAGCATTTGCTACATCTCATTCAAAGATAACTGTTATCAATAGGTTCTGAAAGATAGAAATATAAACTTTATACTAACTTTTCATTTGTTGTTGAATTAGCCCCTTCTTGATAAAGTTGGTTTTGTTGAATATACTGCATCACAGAATCAGGAACCAAATACTTTATGCTGTCTCCCCTTCGGTGGGCCCTTCTTATCTTGGTTGAACTCACTTCATTTGTAATCCACTCTGTCACAATAAATATGTTTCCCTACAAAACAAGGAAAAAACAGTTAACAAGTACCTTCCTTTACTTTGTCTAGACGACAATAATGTTTAAAATAAATAAAATTCCACTTGCCATATGTTTTGTGAGCACATCTGATTCATAAATAAATCTGTATGGGTTGGTTCCCTCCCTTGTGATAACTACAAGGCCATGTTGCCCAACAATTGTTTCTATCTGAAGAAAAAACAGAAATAAATTTAATTATCAGTTCCTTGCTTGCTGGCACATGATGAGATGGCTCCTATTCAGTGGCCTTGATTCACTTACATCTTTAATATTCCACAATCCAGGCTTCGCAAATGATTCCAGAACATCTGCTCCACAAAGAAGCATCACTTTAACTGGTCTATCACTTCCCGAAGAGGCACATTGATTAGGAATCCAATTACTGAAGTTTTGCACGGCATCATCTACTTCATCCCGGTTTGAACATTGCCTCTGTCGTTTCAGGGGTGAATCATGATTTGCATTCATTGCAGAATTCAGTTGGTTCTAGATGTAGAAAATTAAAAATATGATGAGCCATTGAAAACTGGATGAGGGAAGCTGGTTTTCTGCATCAGTACTCCACCTGATAATGTTGTAAAACTTGTCTAGTTCTTGTCCAGCCTGACTGTTGGCACTCCCACTCAGAGAGCCTCACCCAATCATGATCGGAAAGTGCTTAAAATTGAAATTCACAGAATATGTAATACTGTAAACAAACTTCAGAAATATGAATAGCTATATAAAAGCATTAAATTTTACCCAGTCTGAGCATGTTGCAGCGATGTTCTGATGACACCAGATCTTGCTTCTGGTAGGCGTCATGAACTGGTGACATGACCCCACCGATTATCTTCAGTTGGCCAAGTCGTTCAAGATGGTCACGAGCTATTTCTTGAAAAATAAATGAGAATGGGTACGACGTGTTAGGTACACTTCAGTTAATATTAAAACGCAATGAAAACAATCGCCAAACAAGAATGCCGCAGCAGAGCACTGGTGCAAAAATTCACAAATGCTTACCAAACATTCTGAGGTGCATAATTGTAGGTGGGTTAAAGGAACCACAAGCGACAAGTAGAACATCTGTTTGTGCCATGTTCATGGATTACAGCAAGCAACTGTAACAAAAAATTGAGACCCAGGATTCAGCTTCATACACAAAGTCAAGACCAAGAAACAAATAAACCAATGGAGCTCTACAAAATGTCAGTGACAACAACACACACCTCAGCTTGCAATAGACTAGATACAAGGAAGAGAGAGAAATCACAGACGGTTGTGCAGTTCCACAGGACTAACAAAAAGTTGTCCCCATTTCATTTCATTAAGCTCTCAGCTGATGGGCTGACGGGTGGATGAGAGAGGTTAGAAATTGTTTGGAACGATCAATACTCCGTACTCCCCATACCAACATACCGACTGTCGTAGCAATGAAAGATCCAATATCACATATCAATTGGAGAACAATGCTTAAATTCTGTTTATAATTTAGTTTTAATATAAATCTCTTGAAGTCGAATTTGCTTCACCAGATAATGCAACTTTTACTTTACAGACCACACTTCTTTTAAAAATCTACATGTGAGGGTTGTGGCAATGAAATGCCCTTTGACCAATGAGCTCAGAGAGTTGGGAGAGGAAGTTAACCTGTGATTAACACCTCTTGGCTCTCCTGCTCTTCTTTCGTCTTCGTCTGCTTTGATGCTTCTTCTGCTGCGTGCTGCGTGCGTCTCTCTTGTGACGCCCAGACGCGACTAAATAACGGGATTTTCTGATACGGGCAGCATTATCAGTGGGTGTTGTCAGTGAGAAACACCCTGCGGCCTACACTGCCTTCAGTCGTCGATTCGAGGTAAGATTTGCAAAGTATTTATCATATGACGCAATTGGTGGCCTGTAAGACCAAGTCTTCGGCAGAGAACCGGTAAAGCTCTATCAACGCTGCTTTTGGTCCTCAGGTACGAAAATGGTCGTGCCTAATTTGCCTGCGATCGGAGCTGTGGTTCTCCCTAATGTTGGAGGGTGGGTTAGTAGCTACTACAACCGTGAAAGCATCAAGACATGGTATGAGGTAAGCAGAAACACACCTCTAGCAGCTAATCATGTCCGTTTTCAATCTCAGGAAGCACAGTTTCATCAGTGACCTTACTGAATTTAAGTGCCAATTTTAATTTTGTTTCTTATTTCCTCTAGACCTTGAAACGCCCAGATTGGCGCCCTCCTAACAAAGCTTTTGCACCAGTCTGGACCAGCCTGTACTGCGGAATGGGATATGCTTCTTACCTAGTTTGGAAGCATGGGGACGGCTTTGGTGGTAAGTTTTGATTTTAAAACAACTTATATTGAAGTCTTTATTAAGAAATGCAAGAATGGTCTTGAATGCCCTTTGCAACATGCTTTTTACAGGAATCGCAAAAGGACCATTGATACTGTACTCAACTCAGCTGGCTCTCAACTGGGCCTGGTCCCCTATATTTTTTGGAGCGCATGACTTGAAATGGGTAATGAAAAAATAATCTGATTCTATGGATCTATTTTTAAAGTTTTTCTTATTCTCATATACCTCTTATTTTTGCCCTTCCAGAGTCTTGTTGAGATTGCTGTCTTGGATGTGAATGTTGCCTTGTGTGCAGTTGCCTTTTACAATGTACACAAGCCTGCAGGCCTTCTCTTGCTACCATACTTGGCTTGGCTAGGAGTTGCTACTGCTCTCAATTATGTGATATACAGAGATAACAAATCGATAACTGAGAAAGAAGAAACTAAAAGCAAGTGATCGTCAACTTTAACTTTGTTAATGAAAGTAGTTTTTCTTTACATTTTCCTTACAGTTGCCACCACTACATTAGTGCATTTAATAACAACTGTTTTGGCTTCTTCTTTCTCTTATTGCAGTAATTGTGTTAAATGTTAGTCACATATTTTTTGTACCTTAATTAGGCTGTAAACTGTCTGGACCCTCGATAACTTCATTCATGTGTATTAACAATTCACATTGAATTTTTGCTCTTATCATAGGTAATGAACAGTTCTCTGTTTGTTACTGACCACTGTTGTACTATGGCTATATAATTATAACTTCAACTGATTGTTTCATCTTTTGGTCTTCTGTTTCCTTACCTTTCTAAGTGCATGAAGACAAAGGTGGAATGAGAACTTCATGCTACATTTTGAATTGTCTTTACTTTGGCAGAGGTACATACATTACTAGAGAATGAAAAAGAACTGAAATTTGTTTTAAACACGTATTTAATGTCATTAGTAAAAAGCCCACATGATGACAATAGCAAGTACCGTCTCTCATATCACAAATTTCAATGATTCACATTAACAGATTTTGGCACACCTGATGTGAGAAACAAATGCCAACTTTTTCACTCCTGTTTGATACACTACCTTAAGAGACAGGTAATTTTCAATGGATAGGAATACAGAAAGGAAGAAAAAGCTGCCTCACTGAACAAGAATTGGAGAGACATGCATGCATGAAATGTAATGTGAGTTGGAATGCACCAAAAAACAGATAAACAGCTAGTACTGGACCACAGAGTATTTCAAGATTTTGCTCCTGCCCAGTCCCACATGAAATAACAGTGAATTAGAATGAGCTTAGAGAGCTGTGCAGACTTGGGAACAGAAGTCATTTAGTTGAATCATAGCTGAATAGTTTCTTCTATTCAACAGTAATCTTTCACAGTCAATTTGAAACAGTATGAGGTGCAAACAACCCAACTAACAAGATAACTCTGAAACACTTAACCAGATCAAGAGGAACACATTCATTAATTGTAGAAATACAAAAATTCATATAGGTAATACTAGATTGGCAATTCTTTAAGTGCTATTTATTTTCTTACATAACTAGCCAATGACTATTTAATAATCTTTCGAAAGTGATCTGTAAAGTCCTGTGGGACTAATAAAATAGCAGAACTTAAAATTCAAATTGGAAGGTAATCTGGAAATATTTTACTGGGGCCTTGGAATAAAAAATAAGACCTTTCATGAGTAAACTTGGTCTGAAAGCGAAGCAGTTTGCTACTTAGTTCAATAAGATATTTTTTAAAAAAGAGATTTTAAACAACACAAAACACTTGAACTAAAGCATAACCCAAGAACTAAAACAAACAAATAAAAATCTATGTGATGAAATACACAAGCTATTCATAATAAATAAAATGAAATGAGTGATAAGACTATGGTATAAATTGGAAGTGGCAAAAAAGCCTCAAAAGAAAGATCTGTTAGAAAATATATGAAAAGTATTCTGTAGGATTCGTCAGGTATTAGAAGGTTTTTAAAAAAATACTGGCTATTAACTCATACAGTATAAGGGCCTCATTATTTATATGAAAATGTAAGCACAAGGCAATTATATATGAGTTCATATAAATGATGGACTAAAACGTAATAAATCTAAAATTACCACATTGTGCATTAATTTCACTAACGATAAACCAAGCTCATCAGATCCTTACATAAAGAAAATTGTGCTGCTGTCCAGTCTGGATACATAAACTTTCAACAGAATAAAAAGAAATCACCACTCAACACAAGACTAACATCAGATAATCACAGTCTAAAAGCTGGAGTCAGACTTGACAGAAGTATATCAGAAAGGCAAGAAATTTAACTGGTGCTTTGAGTGATTTGAATGCCAAACCAAGCAAAGACTCAGTAAAAACGGGCAATATTGCACAAGCAAGAGTATACACATAAGGTCATGTTGAAGATCACAATAGTATTAAAAGAAAAGAAAATTCAGTCAATTTAAAACCTTACGAGTGTAAAACAATCTTGACAATATACCTTTCTGGAGTACTTCATTCCACACTTTAAGATGTTTTCAGATGTCTTCAAAGTTCAAACACTATTTGAAGATTCATCTACATGCCATCTTCTTTTAACGCCACAAATTAACCTACCGCAAATTGCTGCTCAGAGCACAATTCATCCGAGGCGGTAGGTTATGACTCATGAATGCCACCTTGATTTTTGCAATTCAATTTGTCCTTCTAATGTCTTAGCTAAATAAATCACCAATAGCTGTAAAAAATAAAAATAAAAATGAGTTAAATTAAATTTTTTTAAAGGAGTTTTCAAAGTGGAGTTTCAAAAAACTGGAGCTCCAAAATGGAATTACTTTACCTGTGAGAGGGCAACTCCAAGGGCTATTATTGCAATGGTGTACAAGTTTCTTTCAGCCCATGAACGGACAACATCAATGCAGCCATTTGCCCAAACTCGTTTCCCTGCCTCAGCAGCCTGAAAATTCGAATGATTGATTAGAGAAACGAAAATGTAAAGAGTTGTTGAAATACAAAAATTTCTTGTTTTGAAACCACTAGGTGCCGAAGTATGGATCTAATAAAATTTAATAGTAGTACTTACAGGGTCTTTCTGCACTCCATATCCACACATTATATTCACTAAGCCACTCTGTAAACAAGGTAACAAAAAAGTAAGTACTACATTTTTTATTTTTTTTTGAAGATGAGAAAATCCAAAGTTAATTGAAAGGGTAAAAAGGGGAAAGGTGAAAAGGGGAAAGTGGTAAGTAAACTTACCGAAATATCAGTGGCATTTATACAACAGCTAAAAGGCACTCCACATTTTTCAACACTAGCTAGAGAGCTACAGTTGAAATATTCATTTTTGGACCAATCTTTGTAGCCTTCAGAACTCAAACCACAGCACTGAAACTAAAATGAAATTGGTTAATTAACATTAAATCAAACTGCGCTGAACACTTGACAAAGTCAATAAACTTACTTCTTGCTGAGCAAAATCAATAAAATTCTGGAGATCAGCATCCTCTCTGTACATGTGAATTATTTTGTCAGAGAGTGTCTCTTCTAACATTGACTGCATTGTATGAGGAAAAACAAAACCCATGATTGCTATGGCCATTTCTAACAAAAAGAACACTAGAAGGCACAATGAATACTGTAAAGAAGGAAAACAGAACAAAACCATTAATCCAAATAGTTGCAGGGAATGGGATCCAAACTTTAAATGTTTTTTCAAATATTAGAGCATTTCCTCAAAATTGTCAAACTATCAATACTTACAAATTTCAGGAGGCATGTATTTTCTCTCAACGCTCCAACACAGCCAGCAAAGCTGACCACGAACACCACCCCGCCAGCAAATATCATGACAAGTGAAACGTTCAGAATCACATCATAGACTGTTTCCACTTTCACTAATCCTGATGCTTGCCATTTATCCACAAATGCATAGAGTCCAATGCCAATAAGTAAACCACCAAAGAGCTGAAACATAACAAATCAATTTGAACATTATTTACATGCCTGAAAAGTAGACATTACTCGAGTGATACAACCGTCCCCATACAAAGAGAAAAACAGGGACAGCTTGTGCTCAATCTGACAACCAACTACTGAGAATAATTATACAAACTGATGAATTAGGATCCATAGAAAATGACCAACGATCATGCGATCGGAAGACTAAACAGAATATCTGTTCCTCTGAGGTTGACCCCGATTGCTTGCTGTATTGTTGTCAGACGTCCGAACAATTACTCACCCAGAAAATGAAATTGAGGAGGAATATCATATATTTGACGCAAAGGCTAACATGATTAAAATCATGCAGCCTCCGACCAGGTGGGCGGTTCATGTTCGAGCGAACAAGAGGAACTTCTGCCCGTGGCGACAGAGTGACAGCTTTGTATGAATCCTCTGCACAAAGCAAAATAACCTCCAACCCGAAGTACTTGATCCGAGATGAGGTGCAGGGGAGGGGAACAGACGCGCATTCATCACATAGTGCGTCTTCCAAAGGATATTCTACAACCCAACAAAGCGCAGAAAACTTCTCCAAAGAGATCGGGAATTAGTAATGAGTGTATGTAAACACGGGAATACAGACTGAAAATCGCTCAATTTGTTCCAGGTGCGTTCTGCTGCCAAGCCGAGCAACCCAACGGTGTGATTTTGTTACGGTCAAACCTGGTCGCTATGGCAGAGACTCAGACCCTGAGACTTTGACTTTTAAAACTTAGCAACTCTGGCTTATGCGAATTTATAAAGCCACAAAGAAATTGAGCAGGTCGGGTCCAGTTTAACATCAACGAGCTAAAAGTTTGGGAAAGGGGGCGGGGGGCGGGGCACAGGGCAGAGGGTAAGCGGGGTGGGGGCGGGCAGGGGCGGGGCTCAAACGTCCTTGAGGGAAGGTCAAACACACTCAATAACAGCGCCGGATCAGCGAGGCTGGCCACTTGTTCGGGTGTATTTGTCAACGGGTGAACACCGGCTGAACACCGTGTCACTGTCACTTCATCCACTTCGCCTAAACCCCATCAAAATGGCAACCTGGTTTTCCTGCGTTGAGATGGGACCTCCCATCGAAGTGTTCGCGTTGAATAAGTCTTTTTTGGAAGACAAGCACCCTCAGAAAGTCAATCTGGGAGTTGGAGGTAAGGTTACTATGGGAGCTGTCTCTTTTTTCGAGTTTCTTATGTTTGTTGCGTATTGTAAGAGGCAAACTACCTTTTGCCACCTGCACCACCGGTGTCTTTATAGCCTACCTACCGAAACCTTCGGCGTTTTAATTCATGTACTATTACATAATAAGACAATTATTGCTCCAATCTGGTTAGTATCTGTAGGTCAATGGGTTCAAGGTCCATTTCTTCCTATTGTGACCCTTATCTGAGTAGGCCGACAGTTGTTATGCTTTCTCTTGATAGCTTGCACAACCCTGACCTCTACTGACTGATGCTCTGTATTATTTGTGTTTCAGCGTACAGAACGAATGAAGGCAAACCATGGGTGCTGCCTGTGGTACGTCGCACGGAACAGCAGATGGCAGCTAATGAAGAATTGAACCATGAATACCTACCTGTCTTGGGACTGGAAAGTTTTTCCTCTGGAGCGACTGGCATGCTCCTTGGATCAGACAGTCCTGCATTGGCCGATGGACGAGCATTTGGAGTACAGACACTTAGTGGTACAGGAGCTCTTAAGGTTGGAGCGGACTTTCTTCATAAGCACCTAAAACTCACCACATTCTACTACTCATCGCCAACTTGGGGTATGTCAAACTTTATCTCGTATTTGAAATATCCCACTTTCCTCAACTTCAAATACACTGACCTTCTTTTATTTCCAGAAAATCATGGACTAATCTTTAGCAATGCTGGATTTACTGAGCCTCGCCAGTACCGCTACTGGAACCCTGAAACCAGGAACATTGACTTTGAAGGAATGCTGGAGGACCTGAAGAATGCTCCCAAAGGTTCAGTCATTATTTTGCATGCTTGTGCCCACAATCCTACTGGCTGTGATCCTACTCCTGAGCAGTGGGAGAAAATAGCTGATGTCATCGAAGTCAGTATTGTCTTTCAAACTGCTTCTTCTGTCATTATCCAGTGCTGTTCCATATAATTTTAAATTTCCATTTTACTCAGGAAAAAGGACTGTTCCCATTCTTTGATTCAGCCTATCAAGGCTTTGCCTCTGGTGACCTGCTGAAAGATGCACAAGCTGTTCGATACTTTGTAAAGCGAGGCTTCGAACTGTTTTGCTCCCAGTCATTTGCCAAAAACTTTGGCCTTTACAGTAAGTTATGGATATTGCTAATGGGCCTCTGTGGAACTGAAGTTGATTTGCTTCTTTGGTAACTTTTCTTTGTGTTTCAGATGAGCGTGTCGGTAATTTAACTGTTGTGATGAAGGATAAGAAGTGCATGGCTGAAGTAAAGTCTCAGATCACCTTGATCATCCGAGGAAATTACTCCAACCCACCGAACCATGGAGCCCGTATTGTATCTACAGTGCTCAATGACCCTCAGCTTTTCAAAGAATGGTAAATACTGCTCAGTTACTCAAAGTTAATAGTTTTATATGAACTTTGTGGTTCATTTATATTTGGTGGTTTTCATGCGCAGGGAAGATTGTATCAAGACCATGTCAAGCAGAATTTTGAGCATGCGCAAAGGGCTGCAAGAACGTCTGGAGAAGTTGGGAACCCCTGGCTCATGGGATCACATCACAAGGCAGATTGGAATGTTTTCCTACACTGGCCTCACAGGTGAGCATATTACTTTCAACATGAGGGAACTGTTCTCCATTCTATGCTACGCTTTTCACTTCTCCTCCATAAACTTACCACTGGCTCTTATTTTTTCATCTTCTTTACAGAATCTCAGGTGGCTTACATGGTCAAAGAATTCCATATCTACCTGCTCAAGTCTGGACGCATTAACATGTGTGGGCTTACTACTAGCAACATTGACCATGTAGCTCAAGGCATTCATGATGCTGTGACCAAAGCTCCCAAGTAAATTTTGTTTATGGGCATGTACCTCCAAGAATTGATTGAGCTATATAGAGAAAAAAAGGTAGGGAGATTATGAGGCTTTGATTGTTACCGTTTGTTTTTAAGGTCTATAGTTTTAAAATGTAGGAGTTATTGGTTACCCTGTAATCTTGTGCAAAGACAATATGTTACATTAATTAATTAATGAATATCACCACGGGTTCATTGTTAAAGCTTTTTAAGTATTATGTTGCACAGTGTGTTAAGCTGCCACATTTGCCTGTTTCATAGATTTTGTAGTTTTAAGGAGAACAATGCATTTACAAAGTTCCATGATGTCGCATTTTGTCCTATAAATCCTAATTAAATGCCAATGAGTTTCCTAGTCAGTGTCATTCCTTGTGTGGAAGCTTTGGATCATGATAATTTGAAGTAAATTTTACTCTGTACTTAGTTCTGATCCCCCTCCTCCTCTTATTAGGAAAATCATGAGTTGTGTGAAATATTGTGAGGTCTTAGTAAAGAAGAATTTTTTTTAACCATGTGACTAAATTTATTTGAACACACTACTAAGTACTTCCAGTCTTCAATGAGGAGCTACTTGAAAACTTAAATTGACTAACGAACTTCTCCATTGGCCCCATTCACTGACTAGATTAAAGTTAGCATTACACTAACACTAAACTAAAAATCTGCCCGAAGAACATTGAATCATTCCTTGCCTCTACAAGATTGAACAACAGAGCTCGGAAACGAAGTACTACACAGCAAAGTAGAAAATAATACTGAACTTTCAATACTTTGGTAACAACTGTACAACAAGACAAGTAATTTTACATCGAGAGAACTTGTTGCATCAATACAAAAGACACTAAAGATAAAACTGAGAGCCATGAATCATTATCTGCCAAACAGACTAAAATTAATGAGATGGCATTAATGGTTCATCATGCAACACAATTGACAGCAAACATTAAAAATCTTGATGTTTACCCTACTTAAAAGCTAACATTCTTAAGGTTAAAAAGTATAATTATAATTCTATAATGAGATCAGTTTTCTGAAGTCTTTTGAAACAAAAGTAATCATATTCTAAATAAAAATCATCACAGACAATAACAGATACATGAATAAATAATAGGGATTAATATGCAAGCCATCACAGCAAAATGATGCTCGACTCGATAGCATTACACATGGCAATACAATACTGACTTTAACTTTCCAAACACTTGAGTTCATGAACCATGCTTAGTAATATTTTATTGAAGAATACAGAACAAGTAGTGACTGAGTAAGATCATTCAATGCACAAAATAACTTTATTATAATAATAATTCATACTAATGATGTTTTGAAGTAGAGGCACATTTGTTTGAATTTAAAACTTCCAGAAATGATTCTGTTTTGGCCCAAACCTGATTAGTGTACTCATCTAGCTCTTCCAAACATTGGAGCAAGGAGCCATCCTGAAAGTCACAAAATTGAGATAACATGATTGTATGTCTCATTCAAGTAAAAAGAAACAGGAACAAAAGAAGGAGACAACTTACCATCTCAGAGCATTCTGGTACAACAGAAGCGTCCAGTTGTTGCTGAGTAGGTGGTGGTCGCACACTAGATGGTTCCGCATGAGTGATGTGCTTGTATTGACATGGACATTCATTTGACGGCAATTTGTCTAGAAGCATGTCGAGTAAACTTACTAATGTGTGTAAGGTAACAGAGCTTTTGAGAGTATTGATTTTCATTTCCAGGGTCTTAAGAATATGCTGAAGTGATCTCTCCTCTTCAGGATTTGCAGGTACAACATGGTCTTGATCTTTCAACATGAGTGACAAAAGTTTAGCAAGTTCAGATCCATTCATTTGAGTTGCAATTCTGTGAGCTTGTCCCTTTGTTTCACAAAAAGTTTCACTCTTATTGCGCACTTCCTCATGTCCTGATTTAACAATGCAACCACATGGTTTGTATTGTCCTTCACAGGCATGTGACGAATTTGAACCTTTAGTCACTTGCAAATTGGAGGAACAGTTCTTGGGAAGCATCGAGCAGCTTGATTCTGGTAGAATAGATGAGTTCAATTTGCTACTTTGGTCTGAATCTGTGGCAAGTTGACTAAATGAATCAGTGCAACCAGATACTTCACCCAAGCAAAGCATTGGAACGATTGGTGTACTCATTTGGCTGCTGCTAGATGGAAACTCCACAGTATTTGCAGCATTGACTTGAACTCCAATACTAGAGAAAACTTTTCTCAGTTTTGAGTTAGATTCATTGCCTTTATAGCGAGAGGGAAATTCAGAATCAGGTGTATGAAGGCTCTTCTGCCAGCGCTGAACCTGGAAAAGCAAGGAAAAATTACAATCACAACTGGTAAATATAAAAAATAATTACAGTAATTCAGCGTGATTGCCACTTACTTTCTTTATTGGATCTTCATTAGGTTCAGCATTTAAAGGCAAAGGCCTTGGTGACAGAAAATAGCTCCCAATGCCAGTGTCAATAGTTACTTCCTGAACAGGATGGTGAGAAGAGGAAACTGATGATGCATCAACTGAAGACTTGGAATTCAGGGGAGTAACAGTTCGATCCAACCGAACAGAAGTGCAATACAAACTGGATATAGGCCGTAAAGGTGCACTTATTACGACTTCTTTTTTTTTCTCATTACCATTGTTGTACTTAGACCATTCATCTTTGAAATTCAAGCTGGAATCGGCAGTATCTATATTCTCAAAGTTAGAAAGGAACATTGAGCTAGTTAGACTACAATCATCAATTTCAGATAAAGCTGATGGCTGTTTCATTTGTTTAGAAAATGAAGCCTTTGGGTTCAAACTGTATGATGACTGACTCTTAAACCCAAAGGACTCATTTTTCATTGCAGGTGGAGCTAAATTTTCATGCCAGCCAAAGCGAAGTTTATCAATTTTGTTTTCTGCTTCAGCATATTTTCCAAGAAGGCAATTGTAATCTTCTTGGAGCTTCTGCAGAAGACGGTCCTTTTCTTCCATGTCTTGCTGCATTTTTTGAACAATGTGAATCAGAGCTGGATTGTCCTCGGGTTGAGAGTGATTGTCTTCAAAAGTTTGTTTCAGACGGTGAACAACTGAGTTTTTGGACTGGGCTCTTTCTTTTCGCCTCACTGCATCTGCATTTTTTATACTTTGAATATAATGTTTCACTTTGCTCTCAACATGGTCATAATTGCGTCCATTACTGCTCAAACTGAGTAAGCTTTCCGAACGCATGAAGCCCGAGTCTCTTGATCTGTTACGCAAGTAAAGAGAAGACAGAGAAGATCTTTCCACAGGTAAACGCTGGGAGGGATTTTTAAGGCCATTTGAGGGAATGCTTGATACATCATGCAGAGAGTGGCTGAGTTTTGATTCTCTGATGTGATTTAATTTATCAAAATCTAATGCGTTTTCACTGGGAGCTCTTTCTCGGAAGACATTGCCTTGTCTATCTCTAGAACTTTCTGACAAGCAAGAATTATTCAGTGGACAGTAGAGTAGATCTTCAGAGTTCGATCTTGGACTAGCATACAATGTCTTTGAAGAGCTGCATAGCGATTGCAAACTGCCAGATGCAACAAATGGCGGTTCATCTTCCATTCCCTCAGCCTTGATAATTTTGCCACAAGGGTCTGGGACTATTTGCCCCTCTGAAGACTTCGGTGAAGAACTAAGGCCTTTCCCATCCACACCCAAACTTGAGATTCTGGACAAACAACTTCCACATGATTCAGAAAAGCTGGTTGTATTCTCCATCCATGCTGGCTCAATATCTTCAAGAGTACCAAGATATGAGGAAGAGTTCAAATAATTTGATTGAGAATCCACCAAACCAATGTTATGAGGGTTCATCTTCTGAGGACTATCCATTTAAATGACTGTAACAAACCCGGACATAAGTTAGAATATTTTTTAAAAACGATATATGTACATATGATTGATGAAGTGGGGAACCACATTTAGTTACAACACATTCACTTCCACAATAAACTCAAACTCTAAACGAGGGGCTACCACGAATAACCTGACAACGCGTGTCCAGGAGGTAAGCAACAAATATTCAATCAAAATGAATTTGAATACGACCAAAAACCTAGATAATTCAAAATACTTACAAAAGCATTACAAGGTTTTCGGGTCGAGTGTCACAACTCTGTTTGACTTGGCTGGCTTTCTGATTCTGATTTCCCTCTGAAACCATTTGTTGTTTTTCCTTCCTTGCCAGCCAATGGCCACGGCCGACAAGATTCTACACACCGCAGACCATAGATAACCACTAGGCAACTAGAGGAGCAGTGCTCTGGGCTTGCAGGTCAAGAAGCAAAACAAACAATTTATCACTGCAGCCAAAATTTTTATTAGAAGTAACAAAGATGTATAATTTTCTTTCAACGTGAGACATCGAGTCATTAGTGGCCATTATTAGGAGAAATAAGTTAAAACTGAAAATCCCGGGCTCCAAAACGGTGTCTTAACAAAAAAAATTTTTAAGTTGAACCCAAATATTGCGATATTGTCCTTCGTCGAATAAATGAATGTATATTGCGTATTTTGTAGGATGCCACAGCAAAAATGTCTCACAAGTTCTTTTTGGTCTCAAATCGACGTATGTCATAACTTAAAAGGTTGATAGGTTGCACAAACTGTGTGCAGTTTACGTTCGATTTTGCTGTTGTTAGTGTGTTTGTGTTTTTATCCAAAAGTTGGTCGTGATTGAATGAATAGCACAGTCGCATTAAATGCCGAGTAATGCGTTAATTCCAAACATGTATTCTTTTACGTATTGGGAGTTGCTCCCACTTAGGTGAAAATGGTCGATTGTAACAGAGTACCATACTCAAACAACATGAATATGGTGTGTCGGCTATGTCTGTCAGAGGACGGCAATAAAGTGCCAATTTTTGATGATAACAACAAACATGCTGTGCCTTTACCGATTCAGATCATGTCATGTGCACAAATTCAGGTGAGCAATGTTGGAGTTCATTCTTCACGTTACGAGGACTCGTTGATGGTCTTGGCGGTGGAAAGTTGCATCTCATTTCAGTAATTTTACCCCCCAAATATTAGAACCAATTATTGTATTCTTAAATACGTTGAATAGTGTGTCATTTTTTATTTATTTCTTGTTGATTATTTGTTGGTTGTCTATGCTTACTTGTGCATTACTTTTGTGTCATATCCATTGTATCTCAAAATCTAATTCATAACCTCTGACAAATAAATATGCGTTACAACACAGTTTAAATGAAGAATTCTTCCTACAGGTCTATGCCAATGATGGTCTGCCCTCTCAAGCCTGTGCTAACTGTATAGAAAAGGTAGAGCAGTGGTTCGAGTTCAAGGGAGTGTGCACCCGCTCTGATGAGAAATTACGTCAGTTAATTGTTAAGAAAGAGGTGAGTTAAATCAGGGCTCGGTGCCTGCCACATTTGATTTTTCAGCTCTGTTCATATTACAATTTATATTTTGCAGAGCTTGCCACAGTGGGAAGACGGAAGAATGAGCTCAAGCCCAAAGCCAGAAGACACAAGTCAAAATTCATCATTCTGTCAGTATGAAAATGGTCAGCCTCAAGAAGTCGAGGTACCAGAGGTGGAATGTGATGTTGGATTTGCCTCTGACCGATGTGAGGATTCGGACTCAGAAAACAGTGTTACAAACAATAAGGAAACTACCAGCACTTCTAGGGATAGAAGGAAGCTGACAAAGGTGCAGGCTTCTCTGAAAGATGGGTCACTGCCTTCATCGGAGATGTATTTCTCTTCTTTAGATGAAGAAAGTGCTTCTGATGGGGATGCTGACTGGGATGAATTCAAATGTGAGGTGTGTGACAAGGTTCTTAAGTCAGATGCTGCTCTTAAAAAGCACAAACTAAATCATGCAAGAAAGCGTAAATTTCCTTGTACTATCTGTGGTAAAGCATTTCTGTTTAAAAACCATCAAGTGCGTCATGAACGTAATTTGCATGGGAAAGACCCAGATGATATTTTTCCTTGTACTGGATGTGAGAGAAAGTTTACCAGGGAATTTGAGCTGAAAGCACATTATCGCACCCACTCTGATAATGTGACATTTGAATGTGAATTTTGTAGCAAAGTTTTGGAAGATGAACCCAGTCTATCAGATCATATTAAGTTACATTTGAGTGACCGACCGCACATTTGTGAAACATGTGGAAAAACATTTGTCCGGAATAGTCACCTTAAAAAGCATATTTGGACTCACAGTAATGAAAAGAAACCTCATCGATGTTCTTATTGTGGTAAATCATTTTTGGACCTGAGCTCTCTCCAGGACCATCTTACAACTCACACAGGAGAAAAGCCATATCTGTGTACGCATTGTGGTAAATCTTTTTCTCAAGCACCAGCTTTAATCATGCATGAGAAAATTCATGCCACTGGACGCACACACTCTTGTAAATACTGTCCTAAAAGATTTACTTCTGCTGTTGAAGTGTCAGAGCACATGAAGGATAATCACTCAGGAGAGAAACCTTTTACATGTGGCACCTGTGGTAAGACTTTTGCTATGCAGATTGTTTATCTAAAGCATGTAAAGCGTCATGAGAGTTTGTTCCTGTGCAATGTCTGTGGCAAGACCTTCTCAAGCAAGCAAGGTTTGAAAAGGCATGTTCGCATTCACACTGGAGAAAAACCATATCTTTGTCAATATTGTAACACCTATTTCCGAACCTCTGCACATCTTGTAGAACATGTTCGTATTCACACAGGGGATCGCCCTTATGCTTGTGAAACATGTGGGAAAAGTTTTGCAAGGAGAACCCACCTTCAGCAGCATGTTCGCTCTCACACTGGTGAAAAACCATATGTTTGCAAATACTGTGGCAAACCCTGGGCTTCTTCCAGCAACTTGGCAGAACATGTTAGGATTCACACTGGCGAAAAGCCTTATATTTGTCAAATCTGTGGGCAAGCGTTTGGAAAAAGGTCTGCCTTACAAGAACATCTGAAGGGACATTCCTCATCAGAGGAGATGGGAGCCAATACCCCTGGCCCTGCATCTTCTCCTGGGAGTGTATCTCTCCCATTGTCTAGTTCAGGCCAGCTGTCAATGGCTGATGAATCATGGGCTTCCAGTAATTTAATGGATCATGTTAGGAGTCACTCTGGCGATAAACCTTACATATGTCAAATTTGCGGACAAGCATTTGAAGAGGAATCTGTCATGCAAGATCATATGAAAGGACACTCTGAGAATGCTCATTCCCCTTGTCCCACCTCACCATCAGTAGGCATACCTCTATCTCTTTCAAGCTCAGGCCAAATGTCATTGTCAGTGCCCAATGTTCTTGCTTCTTGATTGAACCTTGATTTGGCTCAGCTGTTGTTTTTCCCACTTTTTTTTTACAGACTATGCCTACTTGTGACAAGAATGAGTCTGTCAGTACTACTACCATTGTAACTTTATTCTGTTTTGCCTTCTTGAATTGTACTTGTTCCTGTTTTTTAATGCCTTTCTTGTATAGATACCAATTTACAATGTTGTGAGCTTATATAACTAGGTTAAATGAGCATTGCACTAGACATTCAAATGCTATTGTGATATGAAATGAGATGACTATTGGTCCAGTTTCAATTCTACTTTTTTTATTGTCAAAGAAAAATGTGATGTTGTTCACTGTTGACTCAAGCTGCAGACATTCTTGGGGTGTCTCGCTCTTGGTAATTGACACAATGACTTAAGCAGTGCAACAATTTTATTTTCCTTGGACCCTCTGCATGATCAGTAACCTTCTTTGTTTGTACCCCGCTGTTCATGGAATCTGTTTTTAATAGTCTAGAAATTTTCAGAGGCTACCCAATATGTTAATATTCATACTTGACTGTGATGCATGAGTGTTTTCTCAGGGAAATAATTGTAAACAGAGATATTTTGATCTTACAAGAAATATATTGTAATGAAAATTAAAAATAGTGAAAATGGAATAACTTTGACCAATGAGTGTTACATAGTAAACGAGTTAACAAATTAATCAAATTCTTCTCGCTCTTCATTTTGACTGAAATGAAATTAATATGAAATGAAGTAACTTAACAACATGATAAACATAGTTTCTTAGTTCACAAGTGAAACGATTGAATCAGATCCTTGGCCTTCCTCTTCCCCAAGCACCAGTCGGTTGGTAAGATGCTCCTTCTTGAATGCTGCCTCTGCCAAGGCCGCTCCACTGCACACCCTGGAGAGCAGGCCCTGCCGCTCCTGGATTTACAGGGCCGGCTGAAGAACTGCTTGATGTTGAAGCACTTGGTTGGCCTCGCCCAAGGAATCCCTTAGGTAGTTCTTTTGGATATCTGAGGGGTTCTAAAGTCGCATTCTGCAAAAGTAAACCAAAATGTAACAATGCAACAACTAACGTAGAATAAGCCAAATGAACATTTTCATACAGAATACATACTTCTTTGGGCTTCATAGGTTCCGCTTTCACCTTGGCTTTGGTAACACCCTTGAGACTTTCATCTTCATCCCTCTGCTGGATGTGCCTCCGATGCTCAGCCCTGAAAGCCTTTCTTTCAGCAGGAGGTACACAATGCACGCCTCTGATGATTGACTTTTGCCTAGCGTTTTCCTTGGGGTCAAAGCAATTAACAGCTCCCTAAAGAAAAAGGAAAAGGCAGATTAGAAAGGAAATTATCAAAATTTCTTAGACATATGCGAATGAATCCTGGTAACTCACATCGTCCCAATTTTCTCCTGAATCCGGCAGCTCAATGTGCTCTATTGGAGCAAGGCTCTTAAATTCCTCGTTGTTGAAAGTAACAATAGACGCTTGAAAGCTGTGCCGATTAGGGCATTCATGATTTTCATGGTGCTACAATGGAACAAACAAAATAAAGTCAAACAAGCACAAACAAAATTATAACACCAAAATAAGTTAAAATCTTATGTTACCGGAAGTTCTGCCTTGGGCATATGATGATTGCTGTTGTGAACACAACGGCCCCAATCGAGGGATGCGTGCTGTTTCCTGCACTTCACAAGATGCGTATTCATACGGTATTTTAAAATCGTGTGGGCAGTGTTGTATGGGCAAACTAAATACTTCTCTGTTTCATGGCTCATGTTAACTGCAAGAGAAAATCAAACACATAAGATGAAAACTAATAGTTTGAGAATAAGGGGTGAGAAGTCAGTATACCAGCTGATGTGAACAAAGGTTAAACGTAGGCAATCAATAAACAAATATCAGGAATATAACCCCATAAAACAGGATACTTTCTTTTAAGCTTATTACTTCCACCCCATAAAACAAAATCTTTTCTTTTTAGCTAAATACTTTCAAAGATTTAGAATGCCACTGGGATGATCAAATTGGAGAAAACCCCGAACTATTAGGCCAAATTAGAGGAAAATAGAGGGTTACCAAAGAATACATATGGAACACCCTGTAGTGCATGCACACAAACTAACTTCAGATTAAAACAAGCTTAAATTGATTAACTTGACCTAAATGCTGTGGGCATACCGTTTCAAGGTTGCTGCGAACAATGCAGCAAGAAACTAATGACAGGAGGTGATCAGTTTCAGAAACTGATGCAAGCCTGAACTAATGCCTTCGACACGCACTTGCACCGTTGCAATGCACACACTACACAAACACAACACCAACACAAAGCTCTGCTTCTGCTGCTGCTACCACTGGAGCTCGAATACGACGACTGACCTACTGCCGCCGCTGCAACCCACCACTACAACTTGGGTCCCCCTCCCCCTCCCCCTCCCCTCCCCTCCCCTCCCCTCCGCGACCATCCGCGACCTCGGTCCCCCCTCCCCTCTTCCAAGGCTCCAGCAGCGGCTCCAGCAGCGGCTCCAGCGTTGCCGTCCCTTGCGTCGCAGGGAGGGAATGCCCAAGAACAGACAAATCCCGAAATTTTTGGTCGGAGGGGGCCAACCCTAGAAACCCTCGCTCTCCCTGTCTTGACAAACCTGCAACCTCCTTGGAACTCCCTTCAGGCACCGCAAAAAGCTTGGTGCCTGGTGCCTACGTACTGAGTTCATATTTATTCGCCCAGCACAAATCACGGTGTATAGGAACATAGTGGCGCGAATGGGGGCGGCCACCCAAACCCATGATCCGCCTAATGACCCCCAGCACGCGACGCACTAGTCGTGTAGTTTCGACTTCCTATTTATTTCAAACCGGCTCTTAGTTCCTGTTCCTCGTTGAGCTCGTCTTTTGCGTCCTCCGGAACTCGAGGGCAAATGGGGAAAAAGCTGGCATACGAAATTTCAGCTTCCCGTGCCGAGGCACGGCACGAAAACCTGGACCCACCAATTTTCAGAAAACGACAGTAGCAGAGTATCGGCCACCGTGGTATCGGCCGTGTCTCCGCCCCGCCCCACCGCGATCCAGGCGAGGGGTCCAGGCTGCGACGTCCTGGCTCCGGGACTAATCCGGGACTCCACGGGCAGGTACCCGGAATAGGGGGCGACAACCACCGCACCGCGGCCACGAAGCGCAAGGACTTCCCAGAATTCTGACACCCGGGGGCACCCGGGCCCGGGGCTCTACGCGGAACGCGAAGACTGCTGCGTCCTGTTGTGCCGGGGGATATGGGACCGCCCTTAAATACCGGTCACGTGGCGACTGGATGGAACTGAGAGACCGGGAGGGAAAAGGGGGGGGCAGGATTTTGCTTTGGGGAGGCTCACGGCTGCTCACGGCTCGCACTTTTCTCTCGGAAGGGGGAGGAGTCAACTCCCCTCACCCGTGTGCCGGTCCCTGCAGGCGACTGGGCGGGCGCCTGGAAGGTAGGCTACTCATCCTACCGCTGCAACAGCATTCTAACGCCCGCATTCGTGATGTGCAACGGTTGCACTATAGTCCCTAGAGCAGGCCTCCGCCGCCTCCGCCCGACGATGCAGTCAGAAAAATGCTTGCAGAGAACAGCGAAATCAGCATGAGCACGGTGTCAGTGAGGGGAAGGGGGAGAGGGGTACTCTATCGCTGTTGTGCAACGCCCGCCCCAGACCCACAACCCACGATCATGACACTCAATCTTTTTGAAGAAACGACCCTCGCCACATTTATACGAGTTGAACAAAACAAATCAAACTGGGGAAAGGACGTGACGATTCGGACGGCAACCTTCAACAATGCATACATAACCCTTCTCCCTCGCGGATGCAGCTGCATCCTGAACCGAAATAATCGCCACAAAGGGACCCACATAATTCGATCTGAAAAGTGAAATTCGGGAGAGATTCATCTTGCCCTACCGCAATCATCTTTATTTACTAAGTACGAAACTGCCGACGCGGCCGCCGGCCGGCTCTTCTCGTAGCAAGAACAGCAAGAACCGTTCCGGTGAACAGAAACCCCAAATTACCTGGCCCCGTAGGGATTTGGGGAATCGTCGGAAGTCCGGCCATTTCCTCGTCCTTGGCTAGGCTTTGGGCTAGGTAAGGATAGGTGCACTGCTTGCGTTTTTTTGTTGACTGGTGGCGGTGGCAGCGTGGAGCGTGGCGTGGGTGGAGGCTTCCTAGTGCAGCGGTGGTGGTGGTGCGGCGGTGAGGCTGGGGTGTGAGGATGGGGGCAGGGGAGAGAGGTGGATGAACCACCACCACCACACCTCTTTTCCCTCCCCGTCTGCTTCTTGAACGAAACGAAACTGCAAGAGCAGCTAATGAAAAAAGAATTTAGTAAAAGAGGATCCTACGGGTCGAATATTTCACAAATAATCATGCCAATGAGACAGAAACAGTCGCGGAAGGGTTGAGCGGTTGGCTGTTCTGTTGTTTTCGTTTCCATCCGTCACCCCGCCACCCGTTTGAACTGAACTTTTCAAACCGCTTCTACGGAGCGGCGCTTTTTGAGGTGGTCTGAAGATCACGGAACGTATCCGTTGCCCCTGTCTCTACAGAACTTCGCAGAACCTGATATCCTGGATGAAACCGTGGTTGCAGGTAAAAGAACACTGCAAATAAAACTGACATTTTTTGAAATAAATACTAAATTTATTGGTCTTGTATACAGCTTGGATAAAGCAAAATTAGGACATGCATTGCAGTGTGAATAAATGAGCCTTCACTTTACCCTTGAAGATAACAGTTTTAATATGAAAAATGTAGCACAAGTACTGTTGACAACCAGTGCATTACAATTGAAACATGTTCATTGTGGGTCTTCCAAGGACAAAATTAACTAAGAACCAAATTTCTGAAGTAATAAAAGGAACAAGTATTCCAAAGTATTGCAGCAAAATGAAATATATTATCACAGAGTTTCTAATACTTCAGAGGCAAAATGCTAGGCACTGGTGTGCAGTTTGCCAACTTCACTTCAAGAGGCTTCAAGGCGTGAAAACACCAGTGTGCCCCTACAACTTCCGTTTTCATTTGAATCCATTCATGCTTTTCTCAGGAATCTTTGTTTCCCAAAGCTGGATGGAAGAAGGTCTCAACGACATCAAGAGCAAAAATTTTGAACAGAAATTAGCAATGTATTCTACAACCATCAATAACAATAACCAACAAATAGACATGCTTTCCTTCAAATTATCAGTACCATTTTTTTTAATAACACATTACACATTATAATACTGAGACACTCTTCTTTAAGTCCCACACACTAAGCGGGCAGTGAAAAAAAAAGTACAAATATAACAGTCTCTTGCAATTATTGCACACTGCAAATTTTATAAAGGAATGCAATTGTAACTCAGTGTGACTAACTATTTTTCTTTAAAAACAAAAAAAGATACACTAAAAAGCTATGAGTTCAAGAATCGCTGCTAGTACCAATGAAAATAATACTTTGAATGTAGTTTATAATCTAAGAAATAAATTCTTTACAATATCAGTTTTTAGTTCTAGAACATAGTCATACCAAAAATAGCAAGCACATAAGAGGTCTGGCAAAATAGACCATACCCTTCCAATATCAATGTTTTAAATTAAGTTACTTTACAAAATTATACAGATGCAGTCCACAAAAGATCCGAATGTTTTGATGACACAAAAATGCAGCAATTATTTTAATAATGCACATTATGACACGAATTACATCCTGCACACCATCCTGCAGACTGTTGGAATTTTTGAAATGTTCGAACTAAATCTAAAGGACCACATCTGTTTCATTGAGACTTTCAAATCTCATGGGGACAATCAAAACAGAGCTACAACTTCACAAGCAGCAGCAAAAACAACCTATTTTCTGACTTTTCATAATTTCCACCATTATGACTCACAATTACAAGTTCAAAACGGTTCCAAAAATGTGCTACCACAGTTGTAGATGCACTTTGACAATGTTATTTAAAATCTGTACACTACCCACAAGAGAAGTGAGCCTATCAAAATCACGCTTACCGTGCTCTTTATTTTTTTAAGAAAAAATGCTGCATTAAGTAAGAGTCAAAATGTAAAAATTAAAACAAACAAAATTTGAAGTTTCAAAATCATAAGCTATTTTTGAGAGTCAAGTAATGTTTTATGAAATTGTTATCATGTCACGATGCTGTTTCACTTGGGCTTGAAGCTTGAACTTTTGCACTCCACAAAAGAGAGCCCCCAACACCAACCTGTTGGAAAAAATCAATCAAATTAATAATAAGTCTAACGATATAAGGAGATGCTAGTCTAGGAACTTAAGACTTGCCTGTTCCCATGTCTGGCTACTAAGAACGGACAGAGAACTTGCGCGCTTCATGCTGCAACATAAAATAAACATAATCATTTATGGTGGAAACAAAAGTTTTACAAAGATTTAACAGTAGGAGCACAAAACTCACAATTGGCAATGAGGCCAATATAGATCAAAAGAGATAAAATGAGGTGTGCCCCACAGTTTAACAAAAAGTATTGCAAAAAGGCTTGTGTAATATAAGCATGTTAGTAAAAACATTGTGAACGCTGCCAGAGTAGAGAACATTATGATGTTTCACAGCAAAAGCGCAAGTAGCATGCAACTTGATTGAAGCCACAGTTCATCCAAAATATGAAAGCATTTTGTTTGTACATTGAGAGTATTTGACATTTAAAGGGATATCTACTTGGCCACCAAATAAAAGAATGATGAAAAAAAAACTTTACTAATTCATTCAACGCACACCTTGCTATATGTAAATCATTGTACAAAATGTACAAAATTTGGCAAATATATTGAAGGCTGCCTTTGTCACTGCCTTCAGTCAACATTGGAGCACTCATCTGGCAAGGGCTCTTGGTAAAAAAGTGCAAGTACCACCTTGCTCCTTCCATATCCATAGAATTTGCACACTTTATACACCTACAGATAACCATGCCCAGATAGCCAAAACTTATTGCCTACTTTGTGACAATTCAGAAAATCAACTTAGAAGTACAGCCCTCTTTTGAATTTTATGGCTATGTTCTGACATGCATTATTCTTCTTCCTTAGCAAATTTGAAAGCTAAACATTTAACCTGTAGCCGGTTGCAAAAGCAACACACACACATCCATGTGTATGCGTTTACAGACACAGACCTGTGTACTGTACATAGAATATAGTTGTTCCCTCTCTTTGACTTGAGAGTCTACAAGGCAATGTCATGCACGTTGCTCTTCACTATTGTGTACAACAAAACTGGTCAACATTGTGCCGCTAAAGATGATGTGATTAAGTTATTTGATTGTGATACAAATAATAACAATGAGAATTGACATGCACGACAGTTGACTAAATAAATAATTTTAGAACCCAGAAAAAATGAAATAAGGACCAAATTGTTGTCTTATAACTGTGAAAATTTGTTCCTGCTCTGAGGAGTGTAACAAAATATATCTGGACTCAAGCGCCATACCTGTGGGCCAGCCCATCCAACTCGGCTCTGGTTGGCATCGATAGACGCTGCATCAATTTGGCACTGGAGCGTCTTATTGAAGCCCTCAGCTTCGTGAAGCTGGCGCTCCGTCTTAATGGACTGGACTACAATCACCAACATACGAATGGTGCAAAAAAGGGCCTGTCATGATTTGCAGCACTATCTAGTCTAGATCCCAAACTATGGAAAATAATATCAATAGGTTATGGTTTAAAAGTGTATGGAAGTATGCAAATTCAAGTAATCTCAATCTCTAATATTTACACTTTTAGTAGCAACAATTTTTTCCTCCCACAACAAAGCAAGGGGGTAAAAAGAATTAACAAGAACTCAGCCGTCTGGCTCCCATCTTCCTCTCAAAGTGTGTCATATAAGAGTATCTATCATTGTGATACCTTCTCTTGGATTCTCACATTTCCATCCAACTGCAGTCATTTGATTATTCTGAGACCATGGTGAAGGACTACAAAATTAAGTACACAAAAAGTAGCAGAAGTGGTGTAAGCAATAAAGTGCAGTTGAACTACTGAAACCGTTCAAAGTATAGCTTTGGTTAGAATTATAAAAAAGAAAATAGAAAAGGTGGCAAAAAAAGTGTCATGTCATGCAATTGGAGTGATTGCAGTTCTAGACATAAATAATCAACAAAATTCGAGCAAAGGCAAACTGATAAAGGACGAAAAAAAAGGATCTAAGAGCAGAAAAATTAGAAACACTTAAATCTGTTGATCACAGACATAGCCTTAATTTATTTAGTATCATACACAATTGTTTCTTAAATATTGTATCAAATTCAGCCAAAAGTTAAAATTATCTACTACCTTCAACAATCTACCTTATTGCCACAAAATTCTTAATTGTGGTCATTCACTATTGACTCACACATTCAAAAGTGAGCATGGGCATGGTGCATGTAGAGTACACCTTTAAAGCTCATGAATTGATAACATGATTGCACATCACATAGGTTTCAAAAGCTTTGCACAGCACAGGGAAAATTTACAACAGTATTAATCAACCTCTTCAATATGAAAAGATAAGATATAATATTTCAAAAGTCAACAAGATTTACGTTAAAAACTTAAATGTGAAGCACTAAGAAACATCCGAGTGCAAATACCATAGTAAAATACATCTTTCAAGTTTTAACAGGCTCAAATAAAAAAAAGACTGTATAACCTACAAACTAAAGGAACTAACAGCTCTTCAATGCCCAGACAGCAGCAAATTAATCTATGTTATACAAAATGGGCATTGCTTTACATTTAAAAAAAAAATATCTTTTACACATAAAAAATTGATGCAACATAACAAGTGGTGCAGCAAAACTACATTTGCAACATCAACCATCAAACAACAAGTGTGACTAGACATGAGTGCAATTGGGATCAAACATCATCAAAGAAAGACAGTCCATCACCAGTGAAAGAAAACAGTTGTATTGAAAGAATATCAAAGTCTTTCACAGGAAAGGTAAAAATTTGACTTATAAGTGAGGTATTAATATCAAATTAAGAGACAGAATGTTAATAACAGAAGTGTTAGTAGTTGCATACTAACGAACCTTCAGGGATGAACCATTCATTTAGTCCAATAGAGTTTGCCAAAACTGCCTTAAATATTTGAAATTGCATAATCAGTTTGCAATGCCCACTGGATATTACATAAAGTTCCATTAAATTTAAGGATACTGAATGCTTTAATGCACCTGTCCGACAAATGTCAGTCTACACTTCAAATAAATTTCACTAAAGAATAGAACACATGATAAAACATGCAATAATAGTCTACTTGCAAATCAATGAGCAAACCTATGAAATTTTACAAACTGATAAAACTATGGGTGCTGGGTGTGGTTCTTATGCAATGCACTATGCATTCACAAGCCGAAGACATCAAGAAAAGCCATATCAAGTAAGAATAAATTGGTATAAATCAAGTAACAAAATTTTCACAGTGCATACAACTCATCAAAAGCACCCAAGAATAAAAACGTAGGATTTCATTAAGATAGTATGTAAATACTAAAATGATCAAGTTCCTCTTCCAGAAAAATACGAGACAATTCACAACACTTTAACAGTTAGAGTTCTGCAAGTGAAAATTGTGAAAGCGGGAGCACGAGAAAGTCATCAACAACAGTTGCTTCAGCTATTCTGGTTGAGGCCCAATGCGTTGAACAATTTGCTTTTGAGCCCGCCCTGCCTTGCGTCCGGGCCTGGCCCCGCCATGCTTGGCCCCGCCATGCCCGGCGCACTGGGTGATCGCACTACATATGACACCGGTGCAGCTGACTACGACAAAAGAGACAGAAAAAAAGAGTCAAATAAAAAAGTTAAAAAGCATATGAAAATAAGGGTGAAAATGGAAAGCATGCAAAACTTGTATTTGCCTGAAATTAAATGAGTAGTCAAAACAATTGTTTTCTTTGTTTCGGTTTTTGGGTTTTAAAGAATGATGGCAAGGCATATGATATGGACATGCCATTTTCTCCTATTGTAATCCTCAGAGCACAGGAAAGGTGAAATGAAGTGTGTTTACTATTTGGGGGGAAGGAAGTAGATGCAGAGGGTCAGTTATGTGTTAATCCATCAACTGATCAAGGATGTGAGGCAGGTAGTAAGGGTCAGGTTTGACACCCAAACATGCAAGAAGTTATTAATCAAAAATAAGATTCCTTCTTTGTCATCATTTTATAGAAATCTCAATTGAAATGAAAATCATAAGTGATCAATTTAAGTTGGTCTGTTCTGCAGTGCAACAAAATTTAAGCTGTCAAGACTAAAACCACACAAACCCACTTGATCCAATCCCAAAAGCGTAATTTACAGATAGAACAAAAGAACAAGAAAAAAGCTGTAAAATCAAATATACAGGGAGATAAAGAACATGCATTCATGCAAATTTACTTTAACAATAGCGGTAGGTTGTATGAAATTAAAAATCAAACAACTGCTGATGAAAAAAATTAATTGAAGCCTTTGTGGAAGTAGTAAAACAAACAAGCACCTGCTTTGTTGAGTGCGCATGCTTACCACAGAGAGTGTTGGAGAGAAATGTAGGAATACAAACTTTAAAATATGAACTATTTTTAAGGACTATCTTAGCATCCTAGATGAGCCTAAAATCTCATCTGTTATTTTAAGTCTATCTAAAGAAAATACTTAAGCTTATGAAAAATTAGTAACACAAAGGCTATTTTCTTATTTGAATAAAGACACTTATAAGGACTATAAGAATGTTCTGTCTACTACAGCAAGGTCCCCAAGTGTGCTTAATCCATGAATTAAAAGAGGAAAAAGAGAGCTATTTTGAAAAAAGTAAAATAAAAGGCACAAAGCCAAGGAGAAGAAGAAGACAGAAACAGAAATGGCAAACTATAAAGTGAAAGACAACTCAGGTTTACAGAGCAATTACGTGCGCGCGCGCACACACACACACACACAAACACACACATCGATAAAAAACAAATCCAATTACGAACGTTACGTGTTAATTTACACTCTTTGACAGCATAATTGGATTGAATACGGGACAGGATGAAGGGAAGAACATTAACATCAAGGAAAAGACCCGAGGAGCACATTTGACTGTGATCACAGAACAAGATTTTAAAAAAGGACGCGAAAGACTGTGATGTGTGAAACTGTCTTATAATTTAGGGTAAAAATAAAAAAATTTCACTAACCTCTTCACTTGCTTCGCTGGGCATTGATTCAAGTGACTCCCGCGAACCTCTGCGACTAGATCGCTCACGACCACTGGAACTGCGCCGTTTCTCAGCACTGCTTGACATACTTGTCTCAGCTCCAATAGTACTTAAGACCTGGGCAACCTTAGTCTGCTTCACAATATCCAAAGCCTAGTGGGAGAGAAACAAAACCCTTTCAAGAAAAGAAATATGAATTAATGCCAGCATAATCGACAGTAGTTAAAATTTCACCTCTTTTCTGGAGCGTAATGCACAGTCTTCTAGTGTTTCTGCCGCCTCATATTTGCCCTGCCTTCTGTACAAAGCACCTAAATTTTTAAGGGTGGTTGTGACCGTGGGTGAATCAACCTGCAACCATTCAAATTTTAAAATAAAAAAACTATTTAAAAAAACAAAAAACAAAAAAAAAACAACCAAATGTTATGAAAAGTTTTAAAAACGGTTTTTAATTAACCTTTGCTGCTTTGTGCCAACCGCCATACTCTCCATATGGAGCGTTTTCCTTATTGCGGTGTTTATTCTCTTCTCGTTCTTCAGCCACTTGCCAAATGGGTTTGTTGTCGCCTGCAAACGTACACTTCCATTAATAATGAAACTTCCTTAGTAACCAACAAAGGTTCGATCTGTGAACTTCATTAAACATGAGAGCAGTTGTCATGAATTTTCACTCCATGACAAATGAAATAAAAGACAAAAGACAAAGCAAAACTACTTCCCTGACTATTTAACTACAATTTACTAAGCAGAAACTAGGATATGACATAACAGACTAAGAGTGCTCTGTATGTGTTTAAACACTGTCTGTGAGTGAAGGGAGTGGTGCTGAACATAAAATGAAAGGTACACAAAATAAAAATTGACAAATTTTATTCTAGGCATGTTATGTAAATTTACAGAACAGTACCACTCTCCTCACACACAAAATCTTAACTGTTTCCATCACCTGTCATATAGAACCTACTACAAAAGTAAAGATTTAGTAGAAATATCAGTTCAAAACTATGTATTGCACTTTTTAAAAGCAAACAGATTTTGGGTGCTTTCCATAGGCAAACGCCAACGTCACCGTTGCCCAACATCCGGAAGGGCCAGCGCTGCTCAGAGTAGACACTGAGCCTTGACTGTGCCTCGGCTGAGCCAAAACAATTTTGAATAGGAAGCAGAAAACAATCAACGCTTGAAATAGGATGGAAAGCACCCATTGTCCCAATGTCTTACCACACAGAATTAATATTGAAGAGATCAACGTATGCATCTCATCAAATCAAATACATAAGAATTGAAAATTAGTCTCTGAAGAAGGGAAAAGAAATGCATCAAAATTGAAGAATAAATGGAATGTTTAAGAGAGTTGCAAACTTAAAGTGTAGATACTTTAAAAAAAAATAACTCAGTTAATTTCTCTTCAGCATCAATGTAAAGAGTGTGACAAAGGAGAAAGTAGTACATTCAAAAGTAGAAAAATAAATAATTCCTACATTAAGAAAAAGGCAAACATGCAACTAAAAAAGAAGCAACAACAAAAGGACCCTTACAAATAGAGAGGAAAAAAACAAATAGAAATGTAAAGCCATCTGAATAGAACTATAAATACTTTCTGTGCATGACAAAAATTCCTACCACTAGGAATAAAAACCAAATTACAGAAAGTCTAGATAACATAATAAAATTCAATCGCAACTTTAGTCATGGGACTCCCTTACATTTCTCACACTGAACACAAACAAGTTGAGGAACCAACAGAAATGAAAGAAAAAATACAGGCAATGATGACAATGATACATAATTTAAAGTGACTGTCACACATTTCTGTTAAGTGGTTTTATTTTTAACCATCGCACCTTTTTCTAGCAGTAGAATAGAAAAAATATTGAGTGCTTTAATTGATTGTTTAACTTGTTAACTTGATAGTTACCTAAAGGGCAGTCAATAGTTCATGCCGATCAGAATGCAAAGATTAAAATTGCCAGTTGTTGGCCTACAGTGTTCGGCTTCAGTCCAGACCACAAAGCAACAACAAAGAATATACATGCTTTCTCCAAGAGGCTACTTTCATTTGAAGCTTCAAAACACACATAGCTGCGGAGGATTTTTCTAGTCCCATCTTTACATGGGGTTAATGACACCAGGTGAGATCAAGCCGCAGTAAATGTGTGAAGCTAAGTAGGAACCTTTAGGAAAAGTGCATAAATTTTATAACTTAATTAATGTAAGTTTTCTCTCTCATCATTAAGTGAAAACTAATCAGTCAGGGCAGCAGCACCTGCTTACCTTACACTACATGTAAAAATGCCACAAAAAAAGCCTACATTACCCTCATTTTCCAAACTTTTGCCCTAAAGAGAAACATGAAGTTTCATGATAAACCCTCTGCTTTTCAATAAAGTCAGCATAGGTATTAGTTTGCAGCACATCGCATATTTGTGTTCACAAAATGGAAACTTTACATTTATTTTCAGATGAAACAAGTCCAATACGTCAAGAGACACAAAAACAACATTTTAAGTCTGATACTAACAAATTCCTACGACACACATTACAACATACAATTCTACACCCATAAGCTGGTGCAGATCGCGGAAAAGAAGGGTGGACGGTCATGAGTTCTCAGTGCAGCACTCCAAGAAAGGTGCAAGGCACTGATTAGCCTCTGCAACTGATGTGAGAAGTCATTGACACGGCCCCCACTAGTCCACTCCTCTTTGGGATCTACTCCAGCTGATTGGGTGATTAATTAAGGGAAAGCCAACTGACAAGAAGCTGTAGCAGTCTACACTACCGATAGAAAGTATCTCCTCTAGTCACACACAAGGCTAAAAAATTACTCTTCCACCAAATATTACCAAAGAACGCCAATTCAGAATGTACACAGATTAATTGATGCCAAGTCATTAAAAAAAAAGACAATGATAAGTCTTAATGTGTCACAATATGAGTCATTTTCGGACATCACTAAATGCTTACTTCTTTGGCACCACTTGCACAGGTTGGACAACGTCCTGCTCAAGGCAATAAGTTCTAAGTCAAAAATATCACAATTCTTTTCATACTGTCTGAAGGTATCTGTGTATATCCCTTAGCGAACTACTAGGCATGCGTAGTTGGTGGTGACTTACCATCTATAGTTCCAAACTCTCTTTCATGTGCTCTAGTTAGAACTTGCTTGTAGAGGATCTCTGCTTCTTTGAACTTTCCCTGCTTCAGGTAGCACGACGCAAGATTGTTTTTGGTTTTTGCAACATTGGGATCGTCAGGTCCCAATTTACTTTCATAAATCTCGAGGGCCCTTTGGTAATACCTCTCAACTTCCTCAAATTTGAACTGAAATTCAAAGTAGACAGGTTTAACAGAAATGAAACTTCTCAAACAAATTATAATCTGTAAAAGTAGTTCTTGTAAGTTTACCTGGTTCTGACAAAGTAAAGCGAGATTGTTGAGTTGCTTCGCTACATCAGGGTGATCCTTGCCAAGGACTTTCTCGCGTATTTCTAAAGCCCGCTTGCAAAGAGGCTCAGCTTCCTTGTACTTCCCCCGTTTACCGTACAGAACAGCCAGGTTGTTCAATGTGGCAGCGACCTGCGGCAAACCGAAACAAATTTAAAGAGACCAATAAAACACCATAGCAAACGCCACGCCACTGCCATGGCAGAGCACTGTGCACCGTGCACTCACAGCCGGGTGGTTTTCGCCGAGGGTCTTCTCCCGGATGGCCAGGGCGTCGTTCAGGAGGTTGGCGGCGTCCTTGTACTTGTTCTGGTCCCGGTACACCAGCGCCAGGATGTTGAGCATGGTGGCCACGTCGGGGTGGTCGTGCCCGCTGGTCTTCTCCAGGTCCTCCAGGGCCTGCTTGCAAAGCGGCACCGCCACCTCGTAGCGGCCCTGCGACGCGTACTGGATCACCAGGTTGTGCAGCGTGCGCAGGCGGGCGGGGATCTCGTAGCCGGCGTTCACTTGCTGGGCGTACTGGTTGGGCGGCGTGGGCGACATGTCTGGAGCAGGACAAGTATCACAGTGAACCCTCGAAAGCGTCAGGCGTCAGGCGTCGCTGCACACTCAACTCACTGTTTCTGTCATCCGCGTCGTCGTCGGGGAAGAGGTCCACGACGGGGTCGTCCTGCCGCGGCCGGTCCGACTTGGTGGACTCCGTCATCAAGTCCTCGCCCTGCAAGCGAAGGAGAGGACACGCGTCAGCAGAGGTGTTCCCCTCCCCTTTGCGCCCAGGCCCCATCCCGGATACTCACGATGATGTCCTGGTCGTACTTCCGCATGCTCGTCATGAAGTCGATGTGCTTCTTCTCCTCCTCGAGCTGCGCCACGGCCTGCTCCGACGCCTGCAGCTTCTGCTGCGTGTTGGCCAGCTCGTCGCGCAGCCACGCGTTCTCCTGCACCAGGCGGCGCACCTGGGCGCGCAGCTTCTGCTTCTCGGCCTCCACGATCTGCAGGTGGGACGCCAGCGCCACCATCACCTGTTGGCCAAATGCGGAAATGCAGTCGAGGCAAGCACACTGCTAACTGCCCGTCGCGCTCGAACACGGTCACTTTGCTTGATCCTGAGTCAAAGAGCCAAACGCTAAAAACCCAAAACCACGAAGGAATTCCCTTTCCTTTACCTGCGCCTCGCCGAGCCCCAGCTCGATGGTGTCCAGGGACTGTCTGAGGATGCCGACCTTCTCGGTGCCGAGGGGCTGGTGCGTCTCGCTGGCCGCCGCCGCGGACAGGCCGTTGAGGATCGAGTTGTGCTCATTCTTGAGCGCCTCCAGCCCCTGCACCACCGTCTTGGTGTTGATCATGATCTCCTCCTGTGTCATCTGCGTCATCCTGCCGATTGACTCGATCTTCTTCCTGCAACACACAGACAAACAACAAACTTAGTTTCGCCATGAGAAAGTTCACGCCGCCTGGCGCATAATTAACCCTGGCCCAGCGGTTCTCAACCTTTCTCGGCTCGCGACCCCAAATTTGTAGCCAAAAATTTCCGCGACCCCCAGGAAAAGTTTCACGACCCCACGGGACCCCTCCTTTAGCATGCCACTGCGTCTGATCCGAGGCGGGCATTTTGCTCCCTCAACGGGCAATTGGTCTTTGGACTTTCCTTTAGCATGCCTCTGTTACGGAGTGCGATTATCAGTCTTAGTTTGGGGGCAGTATTGTCTCAAAGTTGGCCAAAACGCTCAGAAATGTCTTTGAAAAATCATGTTTTGGGTCGATTTTAAGCAGCCACTGCGTCTGATCCGAGGCGGGCATTTTGCTCCCTCAACGGGCAATGGTCTTTGGACCTTCCTTTAGCATGCCTCTGTTACGGAGTGCGATTATCAGTCTGTTTGGGGGCAGTTTGCTCAAATTTGGGCCCAAAAGCTCGTGCGCAAAACAGGGGCGTTTTGCACCACTGGGGTCGACCGGGCGCGCAGCTTTTTCTCCCTCCAGGGGAATTGCAGGGGGGACCTTGCCTTAGCATCCCTGTTGGAAATGCGATTATCAGTCTTAGGGGAGCAGTATTGCTAAATTGACCGTCAGCGTCAAAAAGGGTTTTTAAAACTTTTTTGAGCTTTTGGTCAAAGAGACAAACGCTCCCAAACCAAACGAAGGAAATCCCTTTTCCTTTACAAAGGCATGCTAAAAAAGGCCCAAAAGCCGATTGTCCAGGGACTGTCGAGATACCGCCTCTCGGTCCGAGGGGCGGGTGGTTGCTTAAAACGGCCCGAACACCGTTTTAAAAAATTTCGAGTTTTGGTATTCTTGAGCAACCTCCCCTGCAAACCACCCGTCAAAGGTGTTGGAATTCAAAGATCTTCCCGTGAGTGCGAAAATCCCTGCCTTGGGATCGACTTCAGTGGCTGCAAAACAGCCCAAAAACAAACCCCAGCTATCCCCCATTGAAAATTTTTTCGCCCCCCGGGGGCGCATAATTAACCCTGGCCCCTTTCGGATTTCGGCTAGAGCTATTCCCACGGGTTCTGCCTTGTTCGCCGAGGCCGTGGAGCCGCGGCGCGAGGTTCGGCTCCCCGGGAGCGGGAGCAGGGGGAGTAGGAGGAACAGGGGGAGCAGGGGGTCGAGCAGGACGCCGTGCCGACGAGGCGGCCGACGACGGCCAGAAAGGGAAAGGGCGTCTAAGAGGCTTATCAGCGAGACGACGTCTTAATTGAATCTCACAAACTGTCACAAAGGGCGGAGCGCCGGAGCCACGCTGTCGTAAACCTGCTGCAGAACAAGCTCGCCCGCCCGCCGGCGGCCGCCCCAGAGCCGCCCCTCTCCTCGTCGAGCCTCTCGCGGAGCCGCCCGCGAGGTAGGCTGGCGCACGGCGCGGCGCGCACTCCTGTTGGGCGGGGGTGTCTACCCTCCGAATGACAGGCGCTCCCGTCGAGGCCGCGAGAAAAGAACAGGGCCTGGGCCTGGGCGGCGGCGGCGCGTGAACGGATTGGCGCCGTCTCTCTCGCGCCCTCACGGAGTGCTCCATGGGTGGGACAGGGACGGCGAGGAGGACGGCGAGGCGGACCGGAGGCGTGGCACGGCGCCAAGCAGCCCTTCTTTCTCTCGCTCGGCGCGCTCGTCGGAACGAGTTCCTGCTAGCTCATTTAACCACTCCAATCGGGGAGCGAGCCCCGGCCCGGCCCCGGCCAGCTCCTCCGAGAGCCATTGGGCGAAGGGCGGGCAGGGCACCTCGAGTCGAGGCCACCGAAACAAACCTCCCCCCAAAAAAGAAAAGGGACAAAACAAGAGCGGCCCGCGTTTACGGCCGACAGCCAATCAGGGCGCGACACTGCTTGACATCGACACGGCGCAAAGAACGGCGTGGCCGCTGGAGAGCGCGCAACAGGTCAAGTCAACGAGGCAGCCAGTCGCAGGCAGGCAGGGCTGCTTGCTTGATGAGTGCGTTATCGAAAAAAAATGGGCGGGGCGCAGCGCGGGGGAGGAGAGGCGCAGTCTCGCGGGGCCAGACTCGGCGGCAAAAAGAAAAGTTAGCACGGTCGTCGTCGTCACTGTCAGCGGAGAGGAGTGGAGTGGAGGAGTCGACGGGGCAGGTCCCTGTGCGGGTAGGACGGCGCGACGGGGCGGGGCGATGTGGACGTCGTCGTGCAGCCGCTTATCTCTGCGACAGGCTGCGCGCCAGTCCCCACCCCCACCCCCACCCCCCAGCCCCGACCCGCGGCGCCGCGAGCTCCATACGTTCCGTATTTGATCGAGATTGGGTCCCGCCCAACTTTTATTGCCACGGGTCCGTCGTGGCCCTTGCGTTCCTGGCCCCGCGGTGGTGCAGGGCGCAGGGCGCGGGGCCCCCGACCGGACAGGACAAAGGCCCAAGCGAACTCCACGGCAAGGGAACAAACTCAAAACGCGTGAGTTCTTCCCAGACTTTTCTATTTTCCCCGTGGAAGTGTTTGGTCTCCGGGGTGAGAGACGCGCGCGCCGTGCATCCAGCGCTCAGCGCATAGTGTTTGGCGAGGCGCCGTGGAGCGCCGCGAAGCACTCGGCGAAATTGCTGTTGGCGGTCAGACTGCTCGTCGGCGCCCCCGGCGCCCCTCCGCGCTCTGTCTGGACCGGGCGGGGCGGGGCGGGGTGGGGCGGGGCGAGACAGGCGCGCTCACTCCACTCCAGAAGCGCGGCGCCGCCTGCACCGCCTGCGGCAGCGCTTTATTAATTTCTCATACGGACCGAGTCAACAAACAGGCCGCCCCGCCCAGCCCCGCAGCGCCCCCGCAGCCACAGGCTTGTCGTGTGTGTGCGTGTGCGTGTGTGTGCGCGCATCTTCCGCCCATCTGCCTTTCCGGTCCAGCGACGCAGGCGACGCAGGCGAAGGGAACGGAAGGCGATACTAGCATTGTACTGCGCGGCTCCAGAGCGAGGACGCCCAGGCCGCGGCCTCAAAGGCCCCGAAGGATTCTGCGGCAATCGCACACGTCCGACCGACTCGACCCCAAGGCTCGCCCCCGGGCTCGCCCCAAGGCGCGCTCCTGGCCTGCTTGGCCTGGAGGCCGTGCTGCGCGCTGCGCGCTGCGCCACCACCACGTTCTCCGGGGGCGGGGCGGAGCTCGGGGCGGAGGCAGGCCGGGCAGGCAAGGCACACACATCCAATTCAGCGGCGGGGCTGGAGGGGCTGGCGGGCCAAAGGAGGCAGGCGGGGCAGCCAGCCGCCCCCGCCGCCCCCGCCGCCCCCGCCGCCCCCGCCCGGGCCGATAACAAGGAATCCCGAATGAGGCTCACACACACACACACACACACGCGCGCGCACACACGGCGGAGCGCGGAGGAGAGCCAGCCCGCCCTCGCCGCACCGACAACGAACCGCCGCGCCGTGCCGCTGCTTCCCTTTTACGTGTACTGCGCGGCCGTCTAAACGGTCTGGCGCCCGTTCGGGCCGAATGAGCCAGCGGGGGCGAGTTAGAGCCCTCGACGCCGCCGACGACGTGCACGACGACCCGAGGTTCCCCGGACCGCACAGCATCCGACTGGCGGCGTGACGTCATCGCCGCGCTCGCGTCCGCGCCGTCCGCGCCGTCCGCGCTTCCACGTCGGCGACATGGGCGTTAATGGGCGCACGGAATTGGGTCACAAACAGAGCGAGCGTCGTCGCCTGCCCCGGGTGCCTCCCGGTGCCTGCACTGTGTCAGCGCGGCGGCCGTCGTGGAAGGGCAACCCGGCCGGCCGCGGAGCCGTGGCGTTTTACACGCTGGTGCACCATGGTGGTCGCGGAGGCCGACAGGCAGGCAGACAGGCCGACGCCAGGCTGGCGGGGACACCGAAACCGAGGGCCCGAAATAAAAGACAGCGGGAAAAGAAGAGCCGGGCCCGGCGCTGGGTGGGCTGCCAGTGGGCTGCCAGTGGGCTGGCATGCCGGCGGGCCGAGCAGCGCGGTGCAGCGGCGCGGAAGGTCGCGGTCCGCTAAACCGCAGCGCGGCACCTTCCTGGAAACGGAAGCCCCCCCCCCCCTCCACCGCACCGCACCAGCGCCGATGCAAAGGCCCCCCAAATCGTGAGAGGCGAGCACCAGGCGCAAACTAGAGGAAGAAAAAGGGACATGGAGGCGCCGCGCGTTAGCTAACAGCCCCGCCTTGCAAATTGCCCCCCAGGGGGCGCAGGGGGTCGGGACGCCGCCAGGCTGCGCTAGCTGCGCTAGCTGCGCCACTGGCAGTGGTGCCGCAGAGTATTGCCTATCCGAGCGTGGCCATGAGTAGAGCGGCGGAGTAGCGCCGGGCTGCTGCTGGCTCGGAACATCATTTCGCCGAGGCGTGCATCCCATTTTCACGGCGGAATGCGCGGGGCGGGGCGGGGCGTGGGCCTGCTACTCGCTTCGCAGCGCCGGCTTACACCGGGAAAAAATCACAAAACAACAACAACAACACGGCTGGAGCCAGGCCGCCAGCGGAGGCAGGACTGGTACAGCGCTACGCTCCACGCAAAGCATTCCATTCCACTCCACTCCGCCGTGGGCCATGGCCCTGCTGGCGCGCTTTGGCACTCCACCACGCCAACGTGACTCCGGCACAATTATAAATTTCAACTTTCTTAAATGGCCGGGGGGGGGGGCTGCCAGCGTGCCAGCGGCTGCCGCCAGCTTCGGCTCCAGGGTCGCGGCGAACCCCGTCGTCCCGCACGTCCGTCCCGTCCGCTCGCAGGGACGCCTTTGGCGCCAGGGGAAAGTCAGGCCGAAACAAAGTTCCCGAGTCATTCACCGAGGACAGCGCCGCCTGCCCCGCCAGCCCTGAATCACGCGGCCGCCGGCAACCCCGCCACAAAGTAACACTATGTTTGAGTTGCCGCCCCGCCCCGCCCCGCCCCAGCGTGGTGCACCCGGCCGTCCTGAATAAGGAAGGGGCCTTCAATTTACAGCCAATACCCGCCCGCTG